TAGAGGGATTTCTTCTTCTGTTGCGTCATTTTCCCCGAACAATTCCGAAAAGGTTTCCAGCTTTGATAAAAATGCTTCTGCTGTCCAGCATTGCAACCTCAGGCTTGTGATGAATATCAATGAAAAGTGATCTGTCTCAGTCTCACGCATGGTTTTCTTTTTTTCAAAGAGAGGAGGTGCCTTGCATTTCTAGTCCAAAGAAGCTTACGAACGGCTTCTCTCGCTGATCACTGAAGCTCACTGACCGATCAGCTCCGTTGACAGAGCACAAAGGTGGCCTAATGATTTACATGATTACCAAATCTTAGCCAGAAATCGATGTCTGAATACAGTGTCCGTCTTCAAGATTCATCCTGTTAGTTTCATTACAGCTCTGATATGTCTGCAGAGGTATAAATAACATTGCGGTGTGTCACTAGAACTGCTGTCTGAAATGTAACTCAATATTACATCCAACACGTCCATCCCCTACTGGATTAAGAGAACCACAAAGAATGCACATCCTCCATGACACACTGTCAAGCTGAGCACTGTCTTTTCATTCTGCGATCATGCTTTAAAACACAGGGAGTTAAGGGCAAGAAGACATTTATCACCACCTTAATCGAAGCCCAAACCTTTTGTTTTCTAATAAGAAAGGAAACACTGTTAAAACTGTAAGGCATCACAGAAGTATTTCAGAAAGGTAATGCAGGAATCTCTGGAAGTGAGTCAATGCTTTTCTAAGCTTAATGTTTTGTTTTTTGTTTTAAACAGGGCTTTTATTTTTAGACCGTAATGTGGGTTAAACCTTGCACGCTTGAAAACGCTTGATGAATGTACTGGCTCCTGGAGAACACACCCAGCCTCCTAGTGATTCTGAGCAAAGCCCCAGGAGCCTCCAGCCAGCAATGGGGTCACTGTAGCACAATATGCCAATGTACCCCTGATACGCCCATGTCCACTGTGGCAGTTCTCTGGGGCCACCACTGGGATCCATCACCCAGTGTCACTGACTGGTATAGACCGCGCTGGACTTTGTGACCTCTGGGGTACGTCATTCCACTAATACTAAAGGTGGAGTCTTTTACAGGGAGACCGATATTTACCTGCCCTCGTTAAAAGAAACAATTCAGTGTTGTAACAGTCTGCCAGATGTCTTTCAAGAGTCATTATGATTGGAGCCATTCTCTTCAGGAAGAGTCCATTGTAAACTCAGTACTCCAGCTCAACAAGCTCAGCAACAAGCTTCAACAGGCCCCTGGTATAAAAGCACAGAGTAGCCAATAAAAATATGAATGCTATACTGTTAGGGCAAACAACATAATTGCATAGCAACGAGTAAAGATTGCAGATCGGTGTATGTTACAAAAGAAACAATGCATCAATACAAAAGATACAAATCTCAAGTATAAAGACCGACCATGAGAACACATAGAACAAGTCACGTATTATTTTTAAAGAAATATCCTAAAACATAATTTGGTAATGATAATAAACTTATAAGCATTTATTAGTAAACTGTACTATTTAACAGCACGAGTCATGCTGATAAAAAGCAGTCTTTTCAAGGAGGAGTGTTTTATGTTACTGTTGTCTTCCATAACAACAGTTCTGTGCTTCTGTTCCCTGTTAATCTGCTGCTGTAATTGCTCCTAAATTTTATTACTGTTGCAGGAACAACAGAGACAAGGGCAGCCTATTCATCTTTGCTAAGTTCCTGCACCACGGCCCCGTCCCTCCACAGATAATAAATGGAAATAATCTGGAAATTTGACAGCTGCAATAACGATGTAAAAATGAGAGTGATTCCCAGAAACCTGAGGAAATAACCAGACAAAAATAAAGGGTTTTCCGGTGGGCTATATGGAGGCAAGGACTGTTCTTGCAGCCTGGAATAAACAAACATATCAAACGTAAAGATGCTTATCCTACGGAACTGTCAGTTTCCATTAGGCACCACCACACCCCAGTTATTTAAACACGTTAGGCTCTCTCACACAGAGATACTGCCACCGTCTGATTACTACAAGCACAATCATTGTGGGGAAACTGGTCTATAAGCACGTGCTGCATTACTACATGTTACGGTTTGCCCTCTCGCCTCTAATTCTCTTTTTGACACAGTTTTGGAAGTTACCATGTAAACGGCATACCAAATAGGTGCAAAATGCAGACTTATAATGAACAATTTTCTAAACCTGCTATGGCTGCTGAATGAAACAATGCAAACGCTGCTTTATCCAGAGGGATGCACATCCTTAACTGCATCTTCCTTCACATGACATCATTGCAAAATACAAAAAGCCACAAACATGCTGGTCTTCAGTAGATTTTGTTACTACTATTGCTGCTTCTGTCTGAAGAATAAGGGTATGACAATCTGGCCCAAGGATTTACATTTATTCTTAGGAACAATGTGTGTTCATTAATATACAAAACAAAGCTTATTTCTAGAATGCAGGAGCCCTTGCTGTGCCCTGTCACGTTCAACAGCATTGCAAATCATCCGTCTTGTGCACAATACGGTATGGGAGGGTAGATTCCTTTCGTTGAAAAACAAATTCACTAAATACTGTAGCCAAAATAATTAACTAAACAGATGTATAAGGGGACGTGCATGTACTCTGCAAATATACTATACAAAGACATTAATATTTAAACGGATATTTTGTTTTCAGAAAATCACTGGACGTTAAATACAGATAAAGAGTTTCAGCTTTGCAGTACACTAAACAGGGCAATACAATCTGATTCAAGCACAAGAGAACTCAGAGCGTTTGAGTCTGTGAGAGGCAGGATGCCTTGTCTCCCGCAGCAGCCCAGAGGATGCTGCCTGTGTTTATGGCGTTGCTATGGCTGATGGTTACAGCTTGCCTTTCCGTTGCTGCACTTAACAGTTACCAGTGTGGCACAAACCCTTCACAACACTGCAGTGCCAAATGGCCACAGAGACCAGAAGGGTCTGATCACGTCCGATTCTGTTTGTTTTTCATGAACGCGCGTCACACACAAAACAATCTTATCGCTCTCCCTTTTTTATATCACCTCTGGGGAATAATTCATATCCCTGGAGAGCCGCTATAATCTGCTAGCCTTGAGGAAAATAAATATTGTTGCATCTGTACATCCATCCATCCATTTTCTAACTGCCTCAACCGATTCAGGGTCACGGGGAAGCTGGGGGCGAAGCCTGTCCCGGCTGTCAACAGGATCACAGCAGCAGGTATACCCTGGATGGGACACCAGACGGACAAACACGGACATGCACACACTCACACCAGGTCCAATTTTCCCAGAAGCCAATTCACCTACCAGTATGTCTATGGACTGTGGGAGGAGACCAGAGCACCCAGAGGAAACCCACATTAACAATGGGGGAACACACAAACTCCATGGAGGTAACACCCCAGGAAATGAAACCAGGGCCTCCACGCTGCACGGCAGCAATTACTAACCAGTATGCCACCATGACGCCTAAATATTGTTACAGCTATTTTGAAATAGTTCTTCCATTTCCATCCATGCCTTTGAGTAGTTGGCCAGCAGTTACATCTCACGGTGCTTGGGCACAGTGCAGGGAAGCTCCTTCTTAAAGCACCTTATACCCACCATTTTTCGGAATGACAAAAAAAAAATATCAATAGTGATCAATCTGTGAACGTTTAAAATGTCTCTTGAGATTTCCTGTTTTAATGGAACTAGTTTAAATAAACTGGGGCCACAAAGAAGTTTTAACCTTAAAGTGGACATTGCCACACGCCGCTATGACAACCCTGGCTGACACTGTCGTGAGTTTTGAAACAGTAGTCTTCCTGGGTGCCTCAGTTGTGCAGGATTACACAAACCAGACACCACGTAAAACACCCAGACCCTTTGCTTTTTTGGGTTCAGCAGCTGTCCTTGGAATAGGTCAACTAATTAAACCACACTTGGTGCAAACAACTTCCTCCCTTTGTCGAACTCAACAACAGCACTCCTTCTCTGCTGCATGAATAAATAACTTAATTCTCCTGTGGGGGCCCAAACCACTCCGGATAATACATTACTGTGGCACAGATGAAGTGCTGTCTAACCCACTTGATCTGCAGCAGGTATTCCTTGAAACACTCCAGCCACCGTTCCCAGTGATTTATAAACACTGCCCCCACCGTTTCCCGGGTTGCTTCATTAACGAAGTAATTCTGCTAGCAGATCCCTTCAGCATCTGCATTGCAAGCCGGTAACGCTACTGCCAAAAGAGGGGGGAAAACCGTTTCTGAAGCTCAAGAATTCAAGCGAAGAATTAAAACTGCATACAGCATATATTTACAAAGTGTACTGTACATGACGTTAACAAATTTACAGGCTGAAGAATGCAAGGCAGAGGGTAATACTTGGTATTTATTATTTCACTACAGTAACAGCATGATTGCTCTAAAAAAAAACCCACAAGCTTTCCAGTTTTGTCACCGATGTGGAACTACACCTACCTGCGATTAAAAAATCGCCTACTACTCGGAAAAAATCTTCCCGAAGCAAAGCAGCAACGAGAAACGTTGTTATCACCTCCCCTGCACCATCCGCACACGCTGGTTTACACAAAGGCACAGAAACACGCGAGTGAAACGCAGATAATCGAAAAGGCTGCTGTATGCATCGATAAAAAAAAAGAACCGCTCCATCCATCAGAGGTGTTTACCACGAAGACCAGGGGGGAAATGACAGCGAACTGTCAGGTTACCGATTTGCAGCCAAAGAGATGGAGCGGCTTGCATTCGGCAGGACCGCATCCCCAATCATGAAGTCCCTCTCCACTATAAACTGAGAACACCCTGTGCCACTCGAGTACTTTTGGGTCCATCAGGTTGCAAACGAATCGTTAAAGGGCGAAAAAAAAAACCCCTTCGCTGTTTTCAGTAGCTTACCGGGTCCGTCTGGACTATTATTGCGGGCAATGTGCCGAAACACCCGTCTGGCTGCCGGTACCTCGCAAACAGCTGGATCGGGAAACCGGTTGTTTTTGGCGTCTCACGTCTTACCTGATAATGTCGTCGTTGTGTCCCAGATAAAACTTCTGGCTGTGCTCTCGGGTGTTGTACACCACCCCGACTCCCGCCACGAAGTACACGACCTCCTTGCCGGCGGTGTAGTACAGGTTATTGCGGCACTGGTGACCCCTGTAGCCGTAGACCCACTCCAGTCGCAGCTGGCAGCGGGGAGCGGTCCGGTCCGCCATGATCAATCTGACAATCGGCAATGATCACAGTTACGTTGGGCAGCACAACTTTTCAGATCTTTCCTCTCCGAGAAGGACGGCGCCAGCGGCACAAACACAACCGGCTTTACACCCTGGCCTGACAGCTAGTCCAGTGCATGTTTGTAAACGTCTGGTCTTTCCGCAGGCATTAAACATTTAGCCCACACCATTAAAACTCTAGCCCTGCTCTTTACCAGTAATCAGTTCTTCCCGATTAATGTTAAAAATAAAATCCTATTAAGATCCAAAAAGTGAAAAGCGCCTTTTAAAATATTATACAATATATTTCTAGTGTCCCTGAAACTTAACGCGATATTTATTCGTTGCTCTCGTATTTATGCCGTGCATTATTTCAGAAAGCGTCTGATAATTAACTTTTTCCCCCCCGCCCTTGCTAAAGATCTGCGGTTTGCTCACACCATTGAAAAAAAAAAGCCGTCCCCTTAGAGATCTCCTTCTTTCAAAAAAAAAAACATGCTAATGAGCGTTGAACCCCCCTGTGTCAAACAGACGCACGATTAAATGCAAATGCAAATACACTGGGGGACACACACACATAACCATAGATGCACAAATTAGTAAAAAGACTGCAGGACATAATCCGCACGCTAATCCCCACATCCTCTCCTCAGCCATCATAATTGCACCGTGCCCGCACACTTCACGAACACGGGCTGCAGCTGCTTGCGTGCCCCTCTCTCTCTCTCTATAAATATGAATTAAATCTAAGAAACATTTACCAAAACAGGCCGAGCGCTGTGTCAGACTGCCACCATTCATAAATCTGCCGGAGGAGAGTCCCCTCGGTGCCCCAGCCGCGACGAGCGGAGGAGGTCCGGGCTGAGACCGTCTTCACCGGCAGCGAGCAACCTGTCTCGGCAACTACTACGCGAACAGCCCGTCTCGCCTCCCCCCGGCGAGGACGCCCCGGAATGCAAATCTTTCGTTAACTTCGCGGCAGCGCCAAATAATTAAACGGCTTCCGACCACAGCCTCCCTCGGCGCGTCTCCCCTCCTTAATCCGCATCTCAAATGGATGTTGTTGTCGGTTTCCTTTCTTTTCTTTTTTTTAGAAGAGGGATTTCGGACTCGGTTAGAGGAACATTGCGCGTCGAATGATTATAAGCGGGGTCCTGGAGAAAAAAATAAATACATAAAAACAATGCAATACAAGAACAAATAATTAAAAAAAAACCCCAACAACAAACACACCAAATAACGCCACGGAAACCCTATGTTGCGAAACACATCGGAGACGAAAACTTGACGTAGGGGAGATAGCATTCAAGGGTAATTCCAGCTGGTTTCTTTGCGTAATGTTTTCGAGAATAGGTGCTCTGGTTTCTAGGTGAACGCAGCACTTGGTTACCACGACGCCATGAGGGTAGACGCTGTCGGTAAGAGCCGCTGGCCGCAAGAGGTCATGGGTATTGGAGTTTTAAAAAAGCTATCTGCTCGTTACCCGTCAGGTAAATAGGACACGCCGGGGACTACGGCTCCCAGCATGCTTTGCTAGAGTGTTGTCCAAGGTCCTTAAACCAAGGAAACCGAAGATGAATTGAGACAGCCGTTTGCAATTAAAACAAACAGTGCTATCGACGCCGTGGACAAACAAAGAGAAAGCAGAGTGATTCATGTGCACAAAAATCAGAAAATTGCAAGACATAAGTACTGTTCTCAGCTGTTGTCATTATCTTGCGAAGGTATTACTGTATGTAGGTTTCCTTCGTTGTAAAGGGTAGGTAAAATGTGCATTGCCACTGCCTTCTCTATTTTATTAGCTAAATGAATGCCGGGTTATGGTTGAAATTAATATATTAAATTATTACATGAGTTCATAACAACTCATAATAGAAACACGAATGGTTTCTTTAACACATTAACAAACAAATCTTTCGCACGTTTTGTTTTATTCACGTGTGTTATCAGTGACTGTTAGTCATTGTGAAGTCATGTCTAGCCTTTACTTTTGCACTATACGATTGATACTATTTAAATCATTATACGCTCTCATTTACTTCAAATGCATCGGTCCAGTTACAGGTTCATAAAATCTTTCATTTTCGTTCTTAGCACCAAACAGTTTCCAGGGGGCATTGGGGATTAAATTACGTGATGTACAAATTCTGTCTTTTCTCGAGAATATTCTCGAGAATACATTACCCATCACAATTTTAAAATGCTAAGATTATCATTTCATAAGAATGTGAATGTACATAAAGTAACCCTACCTAATAATGCATGGGAAAGAATTTAATAAAATACAGTAGAAAAAAATCTATTGAATTTGAATTTGCCTGAAAACAACATCATTTCTGCTGCAGTAACCTAACAAAATTGTTCAGCCACAAGGCACCAGAAAACACACTAATAATTAAAAGCTCTGCACTTCTCTGATGATGTTTTACTAATGTTTGTAATGGCATCAGTTTGCGCTTGGTAAACCCAAGCAGAAAAAAGCTTAAAAGTATTATAATTCCAGCTTGGCATTGATGTGCATCGTTTGTTAATACTATCTCAGGTATGAACATCTTCCATTCAAAATGTATAGTAGATCGTCACATTTATTCTTTGTTATTTTTCCACATTCCTGAACTTTGCCATGGAGATGCAGCAAGGCTCATTTATTTCACAGACAGCACAGGCCTCCCGCATGAAATACAGCAGATATCTGCTCACGTAAAGGTCACATAATGGGAAACTAGTCAGATGATCAGACACTAACTAATGTAAATGTTAAATGTACTGCTAGTGTGGTCCCCAAATGAACACGCGTAGCCATTAAAAATAATAAAAAAGACTGTGCAAAGGCATGCTTCATTTTGTCTGTTTATTCAGTCCAAGTAAAAAAAAACGATGAAAAAAAGCCCTGAAGGAATATAATTATATTTACATAATATTTTGCTTTAGCTGACATTCCACTGCAACTAGAGGAGTCTTTTCTGTATGCAGGGCCAGCAGGTGTTTCTCTTTTGTTTAATAGTAGTCCAAATTTTGTCTCGGCTGAAGCTAAATTAGTCTGATGTTCTCCTAAGCTAAATAGCCCATGGTTCAAGCAATTTGCTGGGATGTCAGGTATATTATAATGGATTATGTACTGAGAGCACGTAAGACGACCAGACCTGTATAATGACTTGGCAAATCATGCATGGGATTAATAATGCTAATGTAAACTGCCCAGACTACAAATGGGCTTCAGTCGGCCTCGCTAAATCTTAATTAGCCAAATGTCAGTGCATTTTGACTTGGGGATTTTGTTACAAAATGGAATTTGAACTATGAAAAGATTATTTTAAGAAGCACTTGTATCTGGGTAGCCCTCGAGTTTGCATGGGAAAAAATGAAACAATTTGCCAGCGACTCTTTAACCATGTCGTCCTCGAAGGCATGCCGTGTATCGACTGCGTCATCTGGAGCAGAACGGGCTTCCGATCTTGAATTCCTCTGTTTGGCTTTTACCAGTTACCCTGCTTTGTATCCAACAACACATCTGCAGGCTGAGTCATCTGAGTAAATTACCTCACTGACTGAGGAGACATTGCCAAATGTCACGGTACTCCTCCCCCCCAGCCTCCTTGATTTGCAAATTAAGTCATTAGTGGCAGATGTTGAATGTAATAATGTAATGAATAAACATGTAGTTTTGGTTTATTCCTAGTACTGTAGACTAATAGATGCCTTGGTATTGTAACATATTTATACTGGGGTCTGAATGGAGCAAAGAGAATTCCTAGCGAATAGTTTGACCTACAGAATTGCTGTGCTGTGACCACAGGCAAGTATATTGTATGTCCCAATATAGTTCCACACTTACAGCAAGCAAGTATTTTTAGCAAAAGCAGTCTTATAACTTAGTAAGCCATAAATCAGTCACGCCGCTGTTGTGTTTTTGCTGTTACTTTCATATTTCGCTTATTGCAGTATATGCAATTAGACAGCTTTTTAACATTTGTTTCTGTCTTGTCAGTTTTATTAGAGCCATAACTGCTCTCCATTGGTCTCTGGTCTCGGTTCTTTAAGTTACATTGCAAGTAAAAAAAAAAGTTTTGACCAATTTTATTGACCAGCCACGTATTTGTAATTGCATCATTCTTACTGCTGCCATGTGTGGCAAAACAATATAAACAGGTTAATAGCAAATCGTATGTGGATAACTAAAGGCTGTGACAAATAAAGCAAGAGTAATCTAATTAAACACAAATTAATGCATACCTGGATCCTTACTCATGTTCTGTGTCAATGTTGTAGGAGGTAGTGCAGTAACCATTGTTGTACCATGTTTTATCAGACACGGTCGATTATTTTCAAGCCCATCAACCTGTTCACTTCCTGAAATGCTTGGGGCAGTTGAGGCTGGACACGCATGAATGCACAACCGGTTGTGTCTTTGTTTTAGACTGCAGTCTGGAATGAAAATGCTGGTTCCCCAGTGCAAGCCCAAGGGTAGATACACTAGCCTGCCAGTGCCCTGCAGTCCTGCATGTACGTACCTCATATGTTTCTGGACCTGAAGTTGCACAGTAAGCCAAGGAACGTACTCACTCAACCAACTTCATAACTAGGACAAATTCGCTGGCAAGACTGGATTCGTGCCAGTGTGCTCTCTCACTCAGTAGTATGATCATTGGTTGCATATAAACCTTTTACAGTTACCTTGCATTACTTATAACACAATTGTACTGTTAACCGTAAGCTAAAGTCATGTAACAGGTTGAAAAATGGCTAATATATCAGTACAGGCTACTTAAATTCAAAACATGTGGGGATTTTTCTTGCACTGTCACTTTTTTCTGAAGAACTGTAGAGAAATTAAAAGGATGGTTAAAAACATGTATACAGTATTTCATGACCTGGATTCTGTTTTTGTAAAGGAATAGTGATGGAGGAGTCCCTCAGTCCTGTGTACCTACATTATCCTGTCTCTTATTTCTGGAAAAAAACAGAGTACTGTAGTGCGTGACCCTAGAGTGGTGTGGGGGTCGTGGGGTAATATTCGAGCAATCTTCCCAGACTGTTTGGTTGGATCAAAGCGATTCTAAGTTATTGCTTATGGCAAGATTTCCTTAAATAACCTGAAAACAACTCAAAATCAAATGAATGGACAAGGTCTTCAGTGTGTATCCATAGTTATTGCACTGTACAACAAACACTGTTATTAAGTCCAATACTGTACTCTTTATGTTTTGTTGTATATCAGATTACAAGGTTTTCTTAGTATTGATCTGGCCAATATATTAGTGCAAGCTACTGAAATTAAAAACGTGTGAGTTGATTTGACAATGATTAGAAATAAAATGAAGAACACTACAAATTCATAGGGCACAAATGAGAAACTTTATACTTGAAATGTAATTTCTGAAACCAGTTTTATGTTTCCAACTGTTTATAGCACACGTTGTTAATCGTCTCACTCTACAGTCAAGAGATCATAAAATCACAGAATTAATGATGGGTTATTAGCCAGTTGTTGATAACATTGTAGACTGACCAAGATACATTCTGCAAATAACTCTAGGGTGAAGGTTAGGCTTATCCTCATCATTCTCATTCATGAAAGTTCTCAAGACCACAAGTATTTATCCATAGGCATTTGGGTCAATGCTATTGAAATACATTGCTGTTGGAATGTCCACACACTTTTCATATTTCACCAGCAGTGATAATTGTTGAGTCACATGGTCTCAATACACTCTACAGTGTCTTATGTTTTTCAACATACAATGGCACTGGCTCACAGGACCTTGAGGTCCAATAGGGGAGACCTGTGCAAGCAAGGATAAATTTATCACTGCATTCACAGCAAAAAAATAAAAATAAAAAAAACAAAGTTATTTATTACAGTTCATTGAGTTAGATCTATAGATCACTAATCTGTTGTCACATTATCATGGAGGTTACCAGGTTACATTCTGTGATGTGTTTGGCCATGATGGCAAGGAGTGGTTTAAACAGTGAATGAAGTCCATGTTCAGTAGGGCTGTCTTTCACAGCCTAGTCTTGGGTGTCTGTTAGCTTGCACTAATAGGGCTGTCATGTCTGCCTTAAGATGATCTGCATTTGACTTTGATCAGTTAATAAAGCACTAATCTACTTAATGAAGTCCTACCACTGCATTTCCATACACCATTTCGTTACTGACGTCCCCTGAAATTTCAGGCTTTATTACCAGCAGTGTATTGGCACTGCTGGAGAAAATTTATTTTAGAAAGTATTTCATTAAGGTTACACATTAGTTACACATTAGTCACAAATCAAAGTTTTTTTTTCTTGTAAAAACACTGAAAAGATGAAAACATTGGAAGGTTACAAGAAAAGCAGGAGAGAGCAGTTGGTTTTGGAGGTAACTTGACTATAGGATTCACACAATTGCTCTAGAATATACTGTATAATCACTGAAGACAGTACCTTTTTCAAATTCATGATACCCTGACTTGTTATTTATTCATTTATTTTAAAACATGTAGCCCAGTCACCTGCAAAGATGGTTTTGCTGATATCTTTTATAATTTTGTGCCACTTCCTGGTTTTAAGATTCCTTAGCCTTAAGCTTTGCCTTACGGTCACTTATTAACTTCTACTTGAGACTGTAACAAGAGATTCAGTTCAGTTAGACTCTTGCTCCCTCTTTTGGTGAGCATGAATCAAACTCCAGCAACAGATACTGTACAGGCCTGGGGAATTCCATAAGACAAAATGTACAACATCCCTCAGGGTCTTGCCCACAATAGAAAAAGAACACAAATGCTGAGAGAAACCTGAATTTGGATAGAGCATTAGAATTAAGTCATGCAGCCACTCCCAATGTACAGGATAACAGACTTCCAACAGATAGAACAAATGAGCATCACATCAGTAATTTTGAAGATTTAAACGTGTGCATCTTTCCTTGTTTTTGTTTGGATATCAAGTGATACTGTATGTAGTGAGAGAAGTGCTAAAGTCCATAACTGAATTCAAGGACAGGGAGGAAATGAAAGGTCACCGTCATTATTTTCGTTGAATATGTCTTTTTCTTCTTATTTATTGTTAGCAAGAGGAAGAATATCCTTGTTATTTTATTTTAGCGATCCCGATTGCATTCTTTCCTTCCCAGTTATGTTCATTGATAAAGCAGTCCAGAGGAGACAGACACACATGAGGATGGACTGGGAGGCCTCGGGTGGTGCTACCCGCTCACAGTCTCTCTGTACCCACTGGATGACCGTGGAAGAGTGAGATAAGATCAGATCACTTTATTGGCCCTATACAATTTTCTGCATTAGGAACTTGTCTTTTCACAGACCCCAACTTGCTCTCCTTGAGACACACAGACAGGGAGAGAGAAGCTGGGGGTCAGAGCACAGGGTCGGCTGTTTAAACAGCCCCCCTGGAGCAGTTGGGGTTAAGGGCCTTGCTCAGGGGCCCAGCGGAGTAGGACTCCTCTGCCAGCCATGGGATTTGAACTGGCAACCTTCCAGCCACAGGCGCAGATCCTGAGCCACAGTGCCACCGCTCCGCCCTCCAGAGTAGCATTGAATTTACCTTCTAACAATAATGATCGCTGTCGAGTGAAAAGCCCAGCACATCAGTGAATTACCTTTCCTTTTACTACAGCACAACTCAGCAAAGCTTTGGCATTTAGAATACAGAGAGCACCTTGTGCCCTCCTTGCATGGGGGATGATTTCATTCTGAGAAACTCTCCTTTCTTTTAGTTTTGACCCATACTAACCCTGTCCTTGAGAGAAGTTGCAAATGAATGAACCTATAAATAACGTGGTTTTTAAAGAGCGGCTATGCACGTACCCGTGGTTTTTAAAGAGCGGCTATGCACGTACCTTTTGCATGTATTTATACATCAAAATAAATATTTGTTCTTTTCTTGGCAGACTCAAAGCTGAAGTCACAATCTGAAAGCGCAGATTGTTAATGTATTATTCATGAAAATCCTTCTCCATCTTGCTCCTAGCTGCTAGTAGCCTTGATGGGTTCCTGGTGAGCTTTTTGGAAGTCAATTAAAACTAGACAGCAGGGTATCAGTAATCCACTAAATAATCCATCATATGCAGCCAGTCTTTAATAAAGCAATCCAGTCTCCTTAACACTTAAATCTGTCTCCAAATAAAATTATTTGCATCCTATTTCTGCCTTATTAAAATAGCTAAATCTGAGATGCTTGTTTGTAAAACCACATTTCAATCCCTTGAAAGGTCTGAAGTCTACAGCTGTCTTCAACTGAAAGAATTGAGTATTTTTTCATATTTTAAGAAAATATATACTGTATATATATATTCTGAGGTCTATAATCATTGAGCTCTGGGAGGAAAAAAAAATTAAATGGGAGAACACCATAATGTCTATAGGTTCTAGGAGTAATAAAAACATTATGCTCAGGAGCTTAACGGCTTTACAGTGCCAGCTTCAATACACGACCTGAAAAAACAACCAAGAGCAGTGCAGATGACCTTAACCTGAATAGCACAGCACACAGGCCCTCGCAGAGAAGCAGTCCGCCTCACAGTAAGTCACACCGTAGCACTCGAGGTGCTGAATTCCAGTCACAGGTTAACCCCCAAGCACACTCATGCTTAACAGGGAAACGCCCCAGGATGTCATTGTGGATACACTTGTGATTCGTCTTTTCCTTGGGATATTATTCAGATTGTGAGTCAACTTAAAATTCATATATGTATGCCGTCAGACTGCAAGACTTACTAATAGTAGAAGGGGGACAAGGGCTTTGCATGCCTCCTTGTGCATCTAATTTATAATGTAGAGAAATGCCAGTCAGTCTCCACTTACTTTACACAGTACAGATCCAACTCATGAAATGCAAGCAAATATACACAGGGAAATAGGCAATCTGCTCTTTACCTTAACTACCGGGCAGCCCCAGTGGGTAGTCAGCACAATCGGGACAGCTTTCGATCGATCTCATCAGGGCTGGCTGTCACCTTCAAAGTCTGACACCCATCTCATGCTCAGTCCTCACAAAATCCCTCCTCCTGCGATGATACAGTATATCGCACATCATCAAGGACATCCCCAACAGCTGCCTCGTGTATTTACATCAGGGGTCTCAAGCCCTGGTGATCCTCAATTAGTACAGTAGGTCAACCTGTTCATGATTAGGAAGATGTTTAAACTATTGATCTATTAACCAAATAATCAAGTTTAATGCAGCAGAGTGTGGTCCTCAAAGATCTTCTGTTTGTTTGTTCCAAATGACTTAATTGAAGACCTCACCTGTTGAACTGCCCATGGTTAAATTGCTTCTTAGAGACCCATGACTTGTTACCTGTGAAACCTGCTGGACAGGGGCTCTCCTAGCCCTTGGCAGGAGATCCCAGCAGTTCCTCATTTACAGACAGCACCCGAGTCAAATCCTGGACACAAAGATTCATTTCACAGACACGCTAATTTTTAAAAGCATTTTAATGACATCGCACATATTTAACGGAGAGGGTAAAGGTCTACAGGTGCAGATCCATATATCTGAAAGCCACGCCCCTTTTACTACACGGCTACAGGCCTGGTCAATTGCAAGGAGTTCATTCCTATCATGTTGTTTTTTTTCTTTTGATTGTGCAATAAGATGAAAATTTTCATTACAATAGTTACAGTGACAGAGAAATGCACACTATGTATCAAATAGCAAGATAATGTAGCAAAAAATTATAACACGCAGTGCTATAGCCAACAAGCAAGCAACCGTTTTGAGTAACATTACTTTTTTTCCAGTAAATGCTTTTTTTTTCCACTTGTCCACTTAACATCGATGCTTTAAAGTGTTTATTATACATCTAGTTTTTTATACTCTGTACTAGAATTATTTGAAACATACATTATAATGCAACTGAAGAACAACAACAAAAACAAAAAAGAAAACAAAAGTTCCAAAATTACAGATTTAAAATTTATTCAGTATACTAGTCCTCCTTATATATTCACCATACTTACTGGTCATAATCACTGTGTAAGAGCCCAGCACGTATGGTTTAGTAGCTGACACTTGATTATTATGGTTTTGTATCCAAATTAACACATGGTTATACTAAGTATTAGCAAAGACGATACACCTTCGTGAAAGCCTATAGTGGATGGAAGGTTTATTAGTCAAGACCCAGCATAACTATCTCATTAAATGGAATTCAACATGAGTGTTTTTATTATATTGGAATTTTACAGAATCAAAAGGAATTGTTCTGAAGCACCGCTGCCTTGCCTTCCAACAGCAAAAAGGATGTAACTGTGTTTTCAAGACAGCCTCACAAAATTGAGGAAATGCTTAAATATCCAGACCCTAGAAACTACATACATTTTATTGAAAAAAAAAAATTCGAAAATCAAATTGGAAGAAAAAAATACGCAGAAAAACACAAAACAAGAAAAAAAGGTAACTGGTCCTGTTTCTTTTTGAAGTTATTTGTTTTTAGGATGGAAGCTGCCCAACGCACCTTGCACCACAGAGCTTATAATTCTGCCTTTTTTTTTATTAGTTTCTAAAAACTCGCCAGAAGTTACGTCTAACACCAATTTTGAGGAACTTTAGGCACAGAGTGTGGTGTACTCGTTCTGAGCTTGCATGCTGGAATTTCACTGGAGATGGAAGAGGCGTCGCGCCCGCACAGCCTGCTGGGAAGGCCCCCGGGGCTCCGCTCATTTCTTCTTGCTGAAGAGGCTGAACCTCTTCTCCTTGTCCTTCTCCTTGTCCTTCTCCCTCTTGCCTGGACTCGACTCGGTGGTCAGGGTGACGCTGGCGGGCAGCGTCTGCGCCCGGCTCGAAGCTGGGGTGCTCTGGCCGCTGGGAGTCACCTCGGACTTGTCGCTGCTCACGGCCGTGGAGATGGCCTGGATCCAGCTGTTCATTTCCTCCTGCTCAGGCCGGAGACACAAACACATCGGCATTCGGAAGAGTTCGAGCAGCACGAGAACGGGCAGGCAAAAAGGCAGCTCTAAATAGTCTTGTGGATGGAGCACCAAATGTTAAAACATAACTTTAATCAATGTGCGTCACTGATTTACAGGCGAGGTTTAAGTGGTACACTGCGGCTGAAAATTATACGCGTCTAACTGGAATTCCATCTTTAATTCCCACCCTAGATCAGTCATCTCACATCTATACATGATGGTATTCCTCCTGAGCTCTCAGAGTCACCACTGTATCACAGAAAGGGCAGTTCAACGCACTATACTCACGTCATCTTTGGCTTGGAAGAGATACTCGTTTCCATCAGTCACTCTGTTTTAAAGAAAGAAAGGGAGCAAGACTAAGCCAGATGTTTTTTTTTACCACCTTGTATTGAAACATATTTTGAAGCATTGGACCACATGGACTAAAAGATTAATGCTATTTAGCCAGCCAAAGCAATGAATAAACCTCCAGAACAAAACTTGATATTTTATTGTGGTCATGCATTTCAAGTGGTTTAAAACCGCAAACCCAACACTATGTTAATTCATACAGCATTATATTAATTTCAGTACTTATTCCTTAATATGTACTTGTTGGGCATGAGCCAGAAATGGACAAAAACGTGCCTTTCTCTTGATGATTTTGACATGAGCAGAGAACAAGAATGAACAGCGGAAAAGCACGAGTTACATGACTTGCGATCCGTACTCCCTGTGTTTTAAAGTTAATTTTCTTACTGCAATGTGTTGTCTCCTTGAGTCAGTGCAGAAAGCGTTACCTTAGCTTGAAGACATGCTTCTTCTTCTTGTAGTCCACTGCCACCTCACACACTGCGTCCTTCAGGCTGATGGGAATTTCGTTATGATATGGGATGCCCTGACTAGCGTTCTTATTGTCTTTGTAGAAACCCATTTCCTGGTTGTTTATCACACAGTATACATTATGCCAGGATCTGAAACAGCACAAAAAATAATCTTACACACAATGAAATACAGACCAAGTGCTCCTGTGAACTTTGTGTTGTAAATTGGAATATTTTCAAGAAAATTCATAATTCAGTTTGTAAGTCTATTGTACTTCTTTAGCAAATAAAAACTTGCATTTTGTCATATGCAGAATCATGAGTTCCACAGGGACAATCTCATTTGTCCCCATGCCATTCAGTTTTATTTAATTTAAATCTATATTTAACAAGATATGTCATCTGAGAACAAACACTGACATCAATTCCCTTGCCAAGAGGCTTTCCAGTGCTGTAGAACAATCACACAAGACGCATCGATAAATAGAAACTATCAGATTATAATGCAGGGAACGAAACTGGCACTTGAAAAATGTGCAAAGGATCGGTCAGCACTGATTTAACTATTATTGTCATTCCAGTTGTTGTATGTGGCAGAGTGAAAACAACTGTGCTTGGAAACAGTACTCATTTGGTTGATATCTAGACTGATAAGATCCTAGATTGTAAGATGACACTGAGAGCTGCAGTAAGGTGTGAGTGTGCAGGGAGAGTGATTTGACAGTGAGCTGCAGTAAGGTGTGAGTGTGGGAGATTTGCTCCTTAGATATGACTAGAACGTAAAGGATCAGGCTCCACCTGCTGGACGCCTTCTTGTTGTGTCCCTCCCACTCATGCTTGCGATGCAGGAAGCCCTCCATCTGCGCGGAGGGGGAGTCTGATTTGGTGGGCAGGGAGGAGCCCTTGGTTTTCCGGTCCGAAGTGGGAGAGGGGATAGGGCTGGGCTCCTTGGAGCTGGACCTGGGCTCAGCGACTCCGTTCACAATGTCGCCTCCGTCCACCGCATCCGGGCCCTGCAAGTCAAGCCCCACAGAGGACAGTCCTTAGCGAGAGAGGGAGGTGGACAGGGAGTCGAGGACGAAGTGGAGGAGAGAGAGAGAGCACTGTGCCAAGCTCACACACAATCTCATTTGACAGGGATCATGCGCAACAGGATCAGAGGCTGTGTATAAACATTTGGTTTTTCCAGAAAAGCCGTCACGACAAGTGAGGATAGCTATGTATTCATATGCTAAAATCTCAACGATGTCTAAAGGGGACAATAGTTGAGTGAGCACCACCTGTTGAAACCAAATTTCTAGGAAATACTTATAAAAACGCCCCTTAAAGGGTTAGCTTTAAAGACCGAGTATTAGAAAACATTCTGGAAGCATAGAACAAAATGGCAAAAAACAAACTTGAAAAGGATATGGGCATTTTTTCGTGCTGTGTAGTTTCAATGTGCCCCTTTTAAACATTACGTACTTGATCATGAAGCTCTTTGTGACTGAGCACTAACAAGACTAACCCACAGCTGAGACAGCATGGGCTGAGACAGATCCCTCTTCCCAGGTGTCTGGGAGCAAACTAAACTATCACGATGCCAGTACAGCAGCCTCTAATTGTTAAATCTGTGATCCATTTAACAATTATGCCCTAGGCCCAAACCAGGAAGAGAATCACTCGGGATGAACTCTAGAACTGACTCATCCCAGCGAATGACATGAGGCTCCTCAGTTCTGTAGTTCGCCGATTAAAGTATTAGAAGGAGTGACAACAAAAACTTGTTTTTAAAGTTTCTTACTCCATTCCAAAACGCCAGCTGGTTTTTTGCCGCTGGCTTGGAAATGCCACCACAGGGCCTCCGGTTTTGCAATGGCCAGAAAAAACTTTAGGTGAACCACAACACCAGTGCATTAGTCCTGTCCATGTGTCACACGGACAGCTGAGGAGACCTGTCCACCCCCTTACAAACTCATACTGAAGGAAGAAAAAGAGTGGGGATGGGGACACCTCAGTTAGAGAGCATGCGAGAAAGAAATCAAGAGTTGAGCATGCATGTGATTTTCACCATCAAGGGAATGTCTCTGAGACAGCAAGGAGAAAGCCAGGAGGGGAGGAGAAGACTGCGCAAAATAAGCAATTGATTTAATTGCTTGTCATATGACATTATTTTAAGAATCATTCATCATTATTATCATCGTCAATAGGAAGGAAAAGCAAATTTCTGTTAAAAGGATTTAGACACCACAGCCACTCAGAGTCTAACACAGCTAATTACCCCAGTACAGTGACCCCCACCGAGGGCATGGCCAGTCCTGCGCTCTGGGGGTCTGTGTGTTGCCTCCAGGGCGGCGCCGCACTCGTATGGGCCTAGCGAGCGACTCAAACTGTCCGACCCCGCTCATCGATGAAGATGTCTTCTGAGGCCATCGGGCCCATAAAGCTTTTAGCACTGGAATCCTTGTGGTGCTTCCAGAATAAAGGTCCTTGGATCCAGTTTTTCCCGTTTTCATCGCTATTTACCGTTTCTAAGTCTTTGAGAGCAGCTTACAGGCTCATATTATAATCCCAAGTGACAGCAGTAACACCAGGCCTGTCACAAAGCTACATGGCGAAAACAGGTTGTAGTGTGATTACTGAAGCCACTACTTCACACCATTCAGCAGTTTGCAAGAGACTGTAGTATTTTTAGACGTTTTTGGATGAAAGGTCTCTGATGTAAAATAAGTTGCATGGGAACAGCCAGATGTAAGTACTTATTAATGACACTTACTCTTTGACAATATATTTTCAGACCTGTCAACTTTCAAACTTAACGATTTAATAAGCTTGTTATCGTTAAATTGCATTTTTATCTCCACTGACAGTACCAATAGAAAAAAAAAAATCAACTGGAATCCACCCACTAGATTCCTTGCTAACAGAACTCCATGTGTGAGGTTTTTAAACTGACCGTACTACATTACAAGAAAGGGACAGTACTGAAAGATTTTGGCCAGTTTGTTTTCAATTTTTTTAAGCTGACAAATCTGATCAATAACCTGAATGCCATTTAGTATTAGTCATTGATTATAACGGCAGCTCTCTACCAATAAAGATAGTTATTGTAATCACAGCTAGTTATACACTTTCTCCTGATCTAGGTAAAGTGAGTTATCGCCAATAATGCCAAGCTACAGGTTGATAAAAATAAATAAAAAAACAATTTACACAGCAAATGAAGTCAAACACTGCCTAACTGTCACTATGCTGCTGGCAGACTTAGTTATTTTACACTGGATTACTAAATAAAATAAGGCATATGCAATATACAGTATGTATAAACAGTCAGGTATGGGACAATTAAACCTCATGAACAAACAAAGGTTAATCAAATTAAAATGAAAATTAGCAACAGTTTAATTACAAACATGCAAAACAGTGAAACTAATGGTGATGGACAATAAAAGACGAACAAAGTTATTTCAGGAAAGCAACACAGGTACAACCAGAACACATATACAGCGAAACTGATTGCTATTAATTTATTTCTGTGCAAGTTACTTTTTTCAGTAAGTGGATGGTTCTCAAAATTATTAAAATGTGACTGAATACATGCAACAAAGCCTCTGGTGACACAGAAGGAAAAAAATAAACATCCACTGCAAGAATGCACAAAAAAAACACATTTAAATGCAGATAAAACAAATGGAATCGAATGCTACGTATTACAGAAATTAACTGAAAAATAAAAATAACTGCATCAGAACTGAGCACCTAAAAACGTATTCTTGGCTCCATGGGATTAAAAAGGTGGGAATGAGCAGACACCAGCATATTGGGATTTTGAAGTCAGCAAATGAGCTTGTCCCTTGTCTTAGTTTCTGCACTGCATCACAGCAGGCTAGGTTAGCTCTGTGGGCTCTCTGTTGCAGTTGCTGCTTAGAGAGTGATTTCAATTCCACCGTTTTAATTCAGACTCATTACTACCACTGAGGAAGCCTGGCCACATACAAATCTGCATTCAGCATTATCACTTTATTCTTTCTATTACAGTGATATAAAGGGCATTTGGCATCAATTGCATTGCCCCTAGAGCCTCATTTTAGCTCAATCAATTTTATTCTCTATAAATATTGTGAACTATCAAAGGTGTAATTATCCTACAGCACATGCATCTAGCTTCTGTTGAAAATTATATTGTTGGGATGTGTTGTTCCACAGCTGGCTCATGCTCATCTCTATGCCAACATCATTTATCAGCTGTAAACTGCACAGATGAACGAAAGGGAAAGAGGCAGCAGAGTTAGAGATCATCACCTGTAAACTCTGCTGGAGGGCTTGATAAGGCTAAACACTCCATTTTTGGGACACTGACCTCCTAAAAAGCAGCTCAAGCCTTGTTCTCGAATAGATTTTTGATGTTTTAAACTGGGGGTCGTGTTCAACGGCAGTCAAGTTTAAAGGAGAGTCAAATGACAGTAAATGCCAAAAATATGCGACACTAGAAATATCACACATATGAAACGTCTTCTCAATTTCTCAAGCACAACTTTCCTTTGTTCTTAGGAGCATTCTGTGAAATGTTTAAATTTGACGTTTGGAAGTAACATCAATATCAGTGTGAATTAAAAGATGTCTGAGGGAGCACAACTATTTCCACATGTAGAAACTGCTACTGAAAGGAAGGGTTAGAGACTTTCACTGTTGGACAGAAATCTGGAGCCAAAAATATGTTTCAGGTTTCAGCGACTGTCCAAACGACAGCTTGATTTTGGTAACAATATATGCATATTTTTCAAATCAGTAATTTGTCATTCCACAAAATGTGGTATTTCATTAAGTTACATCTGATTAAGCTTTTAGGAAAAGAGAAGAAGGACGAAAGAGACAAAAAACAAATGGAAGCAGAAGTAGCACATTTTTGTAGGTTTTACTGAGGTGAAGGGGTCTTTATAGACATTGCTTACAAACTAACCTTCCTACTCTGAATCACCACAAACATACAAAACAAAAAACTCCATCTAATTATACTTTAACACACCAAGAACAGAGTTAAACACGTGGGAGTCAGGTTTGTCAATATATACCTATAATGACTTTCTAGTGTGTGATGGTGCTGTACGAAATATACACCTTACCTAACCTACTATAAAATACTGCATGTCTCAGGTCTCTCTGCTACATCATGATGTTTAATTCAGGTAACAATATACACTGTATGTATATTTTCCATATTATATTCACACATTTAAATTCCTACAGGTTATCAAGATAAAAATTGAAGTTGATATGTGCTTAATTCATCATTATATCATTGTTAATGCATCTGATTTCCTTGGCTGATTACAGGCACGTGTGTTTTTTTACGTCTCCTTCTTACACAATGGTTAAGGTCATCCAGAACATTTTGTGTTATAAATTAATACCTGTTAGGCCATAAAATACTTCTTCTAGATTGATTTAAGGCTGTGATTATCTTTCCTATAAAATACAGCAACTCTGTGTCACAATAACTCTATTAACTGCATACCATTAACTATTAATAACATTAGCTTTCAATCCAGGCTATAGTGGATCATTTTCTTAACCAGGAGCTGCAAACGAAAACTGAGTTACTCTTTAGGGAAAGCATTTCAATTTTTTTAAATCCCTTTTATGCACAACACCACAACTAAAAGGGTGTGGGTTTTACAGGAGAGCGGCAGGCAGATCCACACTCTGTGCTTTGCGAGAGATGAACTGCGGAGGAGCAGGGGCAGGAAAGAGGGAGGGCTGGGGACTTGGAGCCGACAGGGAGACCCTGACAGACTGGCTAACGGACGGACAGGAAGGGGTCACAGTCCGGAGAGCCCCGCTCGCTCGCTGCCAGTCCGTCTGCTCTGAAAGCTTTTGTAGTTTTGGTAGGTTTGGGAGCGGTAACTAACCCGTGGAGACTCCTGGTCTGATGGCAGCCCGTTCTGAGAAACCTGCTCCCCTTCTTTTCCATCCCTGTGAAGACACAAGCAGGTAACCAAGAATATAATTGCCCGTTGTCTCTCACCATTAGGTTACAGTCTATAGTTAGGCCTCCAGAAACACAAGGCAAGCTTTGCACTTGCCTTGGAATTGGAAGCAGGCGATTGGTTAATTAAATATACCACCTGGGGAGAAGACTCACGTATTACTTTGAGTAAAATTATAGTAATGGTATGGTCTCGTGCCCTGCCTTCTCACTATTGTTTCCTATCAAGTTTCTCAAATTCCAGCACTTGCCCTTTTTAAGGAGGTACGCAAATGATATATTATTGCACTCAAGTATAAAATATTAAAAGGGTAATTCTGTGCTTTGCTGTCTCCCGTGAGTCCCCAAGAGGGGAGATCTGAAATCTCAGAAGAGTTCTGCGCTCGGTCTGGGAGCTGTGGTTCTTTGGGAAACAACACACAGAGCACTCAGCACGTTGATGTGAGCAGGCCTTTCCAAAATCACACCGCGCAGACGACCTGTTTTCCACACAGGGCTCCCCCTCCTTCACTGTAGGTGCATCAGGCCCTCTGCAGGAGCACCAGGCTGTCAGGAACAGTTGTGTTTGGGTCCTGCTCAGTGCTGGGCGAGTCGTCACAGCAGGGTCCTCTCCACAAGAGGGATGCTCATGGCAGGAACTGTCCGGCAGTTCCACTACGCTGGGGCACCCCTCACTGGGGAACTGGGGGCGGTGAACTGGGCGAGCAGCCCCTTACCACTGCTGATCCGGCTCGGACTCCTGGGGAGCAGGCAGCGGCTCTGGGGATGGGGGTTTCCTCCTGCGTTCCTCCTCCTCCTGCTGTCTCCGCACCTCCAGCAACTCCAGCTGCAGAGACAGCGACGCGTTCATGTGCAGGGCGGCCAGACAAACCAATTACCATATCTTACACTTATATAGCGCTTTTCTGGACACTCCACTCAAAGTGCTTTACAGGTAATGGGGATCCCCTCCAGCCCCACCAGTGTGCAGCCCCACCTGGATGATGTGACGGCAGCCATAGTGCACCGGTACACTCCCTACACACCAGCTCTCAGTGGGGAGGAGAGCAGAGTGATGAAGCCAGTTCAGAGATGGGGGTTTTTAGGAGGCCATGACTGGTAAAGGCCAATAGGAAATTTGGCCAGGACGCTGGGGTTACACCCCTACTCTTCTCAAGAAACATGCTGAGATTTTTAACGACCACAGAGAGTCAGGAGCTCGGTTTTATGTCTCTTCCGAAGGACGGCGCCTGTTTACAGTATGGCGTCCCCCATTACTGTGGTATTAGGAGCCACACAGACCGCAGGGTGAGCGCCCCCTGCTGGCCCCACTAACACACCCCCACTCCCCCTCTTGGCCCCAGCGGCAGCCCGAGACGCACCGTGGTCAGGCGCTCCAGCGCGGAGAAGCGCTCCTCCCAGGTGGCGGCCGACTTCTCGAAGGCCTCGTGCCGCTTGATCAGCTTCTCCACCTCGTCCACGCTCTGGCCCATCTCCCGGCTGGACAGGTACGGCTCCTGGCCCAGCAGCCAGGCCTCCGCCACCCCCGCGTCCCGGGAGAACTGGTGCACTTCCAGAACTGCGGGGCAGAGCACTGGTCAGCAGCGCCCCAGCGGTGCGGGAGACCGCCCTGACCACTTCACTGTTTCGAGCTCAAAGGAGGACAATTACGGAAACGTTTCCTGCCCATTACTGCACAGGAATTTTGACAAAACACACAAATTGTTCCTGATAGTTTTAGATACACTTTGAACAGTACAGAAGACTAAAGGCTCATGTGCAGAAGAATCCAATTTGATTCTCATGTACATAATTCTACATGTATAAAATCATTCCTCGTGGAAATCTGTGAAGTCAGGTTGCTCTTCTGGGGACTTTTCACATGCCTCACACACGCTCACATTTAAAGCGTTTTTCAAAAGATGTAAAATCAAAATCAGTCCAAAGATTGGAAAAATTCGGAGTTAAAGATTCTTACAAAGCCACAAAACACTGTAGATGAGGTAATTCATTTACTACTGGATAGGTAAGAATCCATTCAGTCAGTTCAATGAATGCTGCTGCTGCTTTAGGAATTTGGAAATAAATGATTTTGAATGCGTTGCTAAACACGCCGAAAGGACAATGGAGAATTTCAGGCTAATAAATCAATGAATAAAAAACAAAGTACTCAGTCTGAGCCACTCCCATCGGTCTTCCCACTTGTCAATCATGTCTTTCCTCTTGTCTGTCAGCTGTAGCAACTTCTCTTTGATCTGAAACAGGGAGACCAGGTTAGCAGCAGCCGGCTGTATCATCACAATCTCCACGTTTTAAGTTGTGGCATAGAATACAGCATATCTGCACACCGATGATTTTGAAAAAACTAATGTGTTTTTTTTTTTTAGTTAGGTACTGTTTGTTATCTGCTTGCTGGGATAGGCTCCAGACCCTTTACTGGATAATGCACTGAGAAGATGGATGGATATATGTTATCTATCTGTGAGCCCCTTGCATTATAACGTACAAAACAGCCAACTGCAAACTAGACTTCTAGAGACAGAGATTTTGATAATAAATGTAAACATAAAAAACAAAGTCTGCACTAAACTAGTTATGTTGGAACTACACTTCATCTGTTGGCACCACACGCAATAGCTCAGTTAGTCATCTGTAGTCATGGAGATCCTGACAGCAGCAATGGCCCCTACCTCTTCTGATGCGTAGTGTTTTCGTGCCAGGAGAGACTTGCCCAGCTCCACACAGGTAGTGAAGCTGTCATTACGGGCATCGATTTCAGCCTTTATTCCCTGGTGGTTGTTCATCAGTAACTCCACCGATGAAACATCCCTGCGAAGAAACGGAGATCAGGTTTTGTTTTTTTACTCCATCACATTTGGTATCACCGATTGCTTTGGGTTTTTTTTAATGACCCGGTGACTTGCAAATTCCAGATGTTCAGCTGGCCAGATGCAGGAAAGGGGTTCAATAACCAGCACTTGCATATCAATTTTCATGAGTGTCACCGAATCCCCTTTTTGCGATGACAGAATGTATGAAGTGCATCAGTCAGTCATCCCCGCAAATGGAGGATCACAAGTCCTATTCAATTAACTAGCTCAAGATGTGGGGGGGATAATGCTTCTGTATCTGCAGATCACCATGGGATGATCTGTTTTCGAACAATCTGCCACCTACACAGTATGCAGATCTTTTTTCTGAACGATCACCTTCATCAAGCACTTCATGGCCTACATGTCCAAGCTATCGGGCAGTGGTTTGTAAGTGTCTCCAGTGCTTTGGTGTGGTGGCATGGGATTTGTACTGTGGGTGTGTCAAGTTTCCATCAGTGAGATAAAGGCCAGTGCCACCAGGTACGCAGACAGGTGCGGGCGCCCCTCCCCCTCTACCTGGGCTTCTCCTGTGCCTCGATGAGGCGGATGACATCCTCCATCCAGAGCATGAGGTCCCGGACCATGCTGAAGAACCGGAATTTGTCCCCGGTGTCCAGCAGTCGCACCCTGCGCCCCTCGCAAGCATCCAGCAGGGCCTTCCAGGCCTCCAGGACCTCATTCTCTCTCTTCTGTATGTCATCGGCCTTGTCCCCTGCATAGGCTGACTGGAGACGGGCAGCGTCCTCTTGTAACTGCCTCACCTGCAAACCAAACAGTCCCACGGAGCAGGGATCAGTCAGAGATCATCATCACAGACATGACACTCCCACTGAGCAGAGATCACTAAGAGATCATCATCACAGACAGTCCCACTGAGCAGAGATCACTAAGAGATCATCATCACAGACAGTCCCACTGAGCAGAGATCAGTCAGAGATCATCATCGCAGACACTCCCACTGAGCAGAGATCAGTTAGAGATCATCATCGCAGACACTCCCATGGAGCAGAGATCAGTCAGAGATCATCATTACAGACACTCCCACTGAGCAGAGATCAGTTAGAGATCATCATCACAGACACTCCCACAGAGCAGAGATCATAACAGATATTCATATTGAGCAGGAATCGGTTAGAGATCATCATCATTAGAGATGATCATCTTACCAGCAAGTCTGATTTTACTTTGGCTACAGTTACTGTACATACAAGTAAGCAGCATTGAAATGAAAAAGATGAATTTCTTTGGGAGAGAGCCTGCCCTTCAGATTTCTCAAATGCTTGTGTAATGGCTACACAAGCCAGCATCAAACAAGCCAAAAGGAAGTTCAGTGATGTTACTGAAATCTGGAATGGAATTTGCTCTCCATGTTTTATGATCCAAATTAGATTCAGTAAAAGCGAACATATAACCTGATTTTTTTATTTTTCATGATATGGAACTCACTTTCTACACTTCCTTTCAGTCCAACCAGTCTGTGCCAGTCTACACTTACTTAGTTTCTATTTTGTTAATGGAGTCTTTGGATGAAGTTCATTTTAACAAACACTTCCACGCCTACAGAACCAGTTAAAACAAAGGCTTGAGAAGCAACAGGATGGAAGACTCTGTCTATGTCTTTTCTAGAATCTAGGACAATAAAACATACTCATTGAAACCTTGAAGCCTACTGTTTCCAGCAGATGTACAGAAAGCCTTTGTGGCAGGCTGGCTCGTACAAGCACTCTGCTGCCCCCTGCTGGCCCTGCGGGGACGCACCTGTGTGCCCAGGGCCTGGATGTCGTGCTCGAAGGTGGTGTGCATCCTCTGCAGTGTCTCCACCGTGTTCTGGTCCCGGCCCAGCTCCTCGGGCAGCTTCTTGTGTTTGTCCAGGATGCGGCCCAGGATCTCCTTGGCGTCGTGGTAGAACTTGTGCAGCTCGTAGGAGGCGGCCAGGATCTGCGTGCGCGTGTCGATGAGCTCCAGCAGGTCGGCCCAGGCCTCGTTCAGCCCGTCCTTCCACTCGGCGATGGTGGCGGCGTCGGAGTGGCCCGAGTTGATCAGCTCGTCGGCCATCTGGTTGACGGCGTCTACCCGCTCCTGGCCGATGTTGCCCGTGTCGCGGGCAAACTCGCGGAAGCGCTCCTGCAGCATCTGCGAGACGGAGGCGGAGGAGGACGCTGAACCACAGCAGGCACAGTCTCAAGAACAGTAAGAATTCCTTACACTTACATGGCGCTTTCCAGGTAATGCGGATGCCCTCCACCAACCACCAGTGTGCAGCCCCACCTGGAAGATGCGCCAGTACACTCCCCACACACCAGCTCTCATTGGGGAAGAGAACAGAGTGGTGAAGCCAGTTCAGAGATGGGGGTTATTAGGAGGCCATGACTGGTAAAGAAATTTGGCCAGGACACCAGGGTTTACACGCCTATTCTTAGGGGTCATTTTTTTAAAACTAATGACCACAGAGAGTCAGGGCCTCTGTTTTACAGCTCATCTGAAGGATGGCGCCTTTCCACGGTACAGTGTCTCAGCCACTATACTGGGGCATTAGGACCCACACAGTCCGTGGGGTGAGCGCCCCCTACTGGCCCAATTAACACCTCTTTCAGCAGCAGCCTTAGTTTTTCCCAGGAGGTCTCCCATTCAGGTACTGGCCAGGCTCACACCTGCTGAGCTCCAGTGGGCTGCCAGGTGTGAGCTGCTGGGTGATTTAGCCCCTGGCATCTTTTTCCCAAACCCAGGCCGTCCACTGTGAACTCACCATATCGACTACACACACAAAAGGAGTGTGGATATTTTCTATACTACACTTAATAGTATAGAAAATAGTAATAGTGTAGCCTGCTTTAAAGCTTTAACATAAGAAAAATAAAACTGAGTTAACATTAACAGCCCAATCACCTTTGTAAAGGTTATTTTATAATTAGCTGGCAGACAACATATAAATCACATCATTACTATTTGGATCTGGTTGAACGAAATGGATATATTGACAAGCTTTTTTGCTAGACTGCAGGTTAGCCACGCCGCCGATTTGGCCCGGCCCCCAGGCGAAGTATGCAGCTTGAGCACAAGCTACGCTTTCTTATTGAAACGCTGTTTCTGCTGCAGAATCAGACAGCGTGAGGGAAAGGGGCAGCCCGCGGGCTGAATTACCGTGACGTGCTCGTAGTCCTGCCCCAGCTCGTGCGAGCCGGCCACCACCTCGCGCTCGGCGATCCACTGCTCCAGGTCGTCCACCTCGCGGTTGAGCTGGAACAGCCGGTACCTCTCGTCCAGCTTCCCCCTCCTCTCCTCGGACAGGTCCTTCAGGCCCGCGTACAGCTTGTCCACCTGCGACTGCCGCATGCTGATCCTCTCGCTGCGGGGGGAGGCGGCGGCACAGGGTTGGGATGGGGGACCCGAGCAATTTGAAAGACACAAAGGGCGCAAAACCGAGAGCGCGGCACCCCTCATTTCCTCTTCTACCCAGACATCCAGAGTCTCACTGCCTTTTTCTTAATGATGCAACTTGAGACGAAAGTTCCCAGTCCTGGAGCTTGACCGCCACACACCTGCTGGCTTGTATTAATCACCGAAGCCTTAATTCCATTAACACGAGTGGAATATTTTGCAGGACGTTTTTCATGCTCACAAATTTAGGATTTTATCTCACTTAGGATGTGCAATAGTTAAAGAGTCAAGCTCTCCATGCCACATGCCTCTTCAGCACGTGTGAGAAATGAGCAGTTCAATCTCACCCTATTATTAAGTCAATTAAAGCCTCAACAGTGTAACTGAGAGCTTGGCTGGAACAAAAGGCAGCAGGCTTGTAGGGCTCCAGGACGAGGGCTGGGAACCTTCTGAGCTCTGGATTCCAGATGAGTTTCAATAGTTTTCTTGGTTCATTAAGTTACGAACTAGATGGACAAGGTTCCCCTTAGTCTGTGACTTTTTATTAGATCAGAGCAATGGCTGTAGCACCTTTGCCTCCTCACTGCACGTCCCCATGCCCCTCACTCTCTGAGTAATCGCTTTCTACTGTAATAGAGGATAATCCACTCAAGAGCCGAACCAGTGAGCTGGATGGCCACGCCAACAACATGGGATCGCTCATGCATTCGTGTCCCGGATTCACCAAAACCCAGCCAGTTCTACATGCATGCTCTTGGCACAGGCAACACACTTTTTAAAAGTTCATCTCGCTATGACAGACTATATGCGCTGAGCAGGAAACCCGCTGGGCGGCGATGCCCAGGTGAATGGGGGTGTGAGAGCTTGCACACGGGTGTCCCGGGCTCCTGACCTCTCTGGGTGGCCCACAGCCACCAGGGCCCGGCTGGTCTTGGACAGCTGGTGCACTGTCTCGGCGTAGTCCTCCACCGCCTGCTCCAGGATCTGGTGCTTCTTCAGCATGGCCACCGCACTCTGCTCGTCCTGAGAGACGGAGCAGGGAGGGCGAGTGAGACAACGAGACAGCAAGACAAGCCGACCCGACACGGGTGACCGACGTTTCCCGTTTTCTTCTTGAAAGAGTTAATGACATAGAAGCAAATTCTCCAACGCTGCAGGTTACTCGCATTCGATATAGCACCTGGGATCTGTTTCCCAAACCCAGGGCGTCCACAGTGAACTCACCGCCCCGACTGGAGAAACAAAAGGAGTGTGGATATTTTCTATACTACACTTAATGGTCTGCTTTAACATGAGAAAAATAAAATTGAGTTGACGTCAACAGCCCGATCACACTTTGTCTTTGGTTCTGTAAAGGTCATTTTCTAATCAGACAACATATTAATCTCATTATTACTATTTGGACCTGCTTCAGCGAAATGGCTGTATTGCCAATATTGACGATGGCCATATTGACCCGTCACTTGCATTCGTCTTGGAGCGTGTGGACAAAATGGCCGCCGCCGCCGCCGCAAACGAACCCCGCCGCCTCTTCCCCCCCAGGCGGCGCCTACCTTGGCCTTCTCCTCCGACATCATGTAGAGCTCCTGCTCGCTCATCCAGGCCTCGGCCTCGGCCGCGTCGAAGTAGTACTGCTGGGCCTTGTGCGCCTCCTCCAGGCGGCCGTGCCGCTTCTCCGTCTCCTCGATCATGAGGCCCCAGAGCCGCCGCAGGTCGGCCAGCCGCTGGCGGATGGCCTCGGCGTTGGGGCTGCCGTCCGTCAGGATGTTCTGGCTCCGCTCGAAGATGTCGTCGATGCGTGGCTGGTGGCCCTGGATCTCCTTCTGGAGCGTCTGCGCGTCACAAGGGAGAGCACCACTCTACGACCGTCCAGCAATGAAACAGATCCCCGGTCTTTCGGACGGTCACTTTGGTCCTCTTACCTGGTTTTTCTTGATGAGTAACTGGACAGTCTGTAAGTTATGCCCGTGGTCTGTGGAAGTTGCAACTGGCATTCTTTCTTCAACCCAGAGCTAAAAACACAGAATGAGACTGTCAATGCTCATTTCGAAAAGTGCAGAAAAGCACAAGACAAAAAATCATGGCCGCAAAATTGCAGGGCTTGAGCTTGGTCGACTGACAACCCATTTCTGAGTTAAAAAGCTTCCCATTTGAGCTTGACAATGAACAAACTCCCCAAAATGGCTCGTGCGATCCTCTGAACACAGTGTCCAAAAGCGCTGACACAGTAGGGGAATTTGTTTTCTATCGATAAGAGGATGTTTCTTTTACTGAAACTTAATGGAAGAGCACAGTGGATTATTTGCAATAATGTCGACAGAATGAAAGAAATATTCCATTCAGCATGGTTTAGGCCTATGGCACATATTGCGCCCATAATATACAATTCATATCTCAAATTACAGAGGGTAAAGTGGAGCCATTAGAACACCTATGTTTTTTTTCACACCTAGAACAACACAAAATAAAATAAATTTGTCTACAATACAGCATGGATAAGAAATACCATGCAGGTAACATACTGCAATACTGCAAGTTGCTCATGACAGGAATGGCTACACTTGAAAACATTACACTGTCAAAAAGTCCAGTTTTAACACTGTGAACAATGCTTCTCTAAATTCACTTGCCAGCAACAGCTGAAAATGAGGAAAAAAAGGCATTTTAAGATATTAAGGCAAAAAAGATGAAGGGCTTTTCTTTGTTACATACATCAAAGTGCAGTACGTCAACATGCTGAAATGATCGCTGCTGTCACAGCTATAAAAAAGTGAAGCAACAAGAGCCCTCTCATCTCAATGCAGTGAAAGCCACTCGGTCCATAAAACTGAGAGCAGACAGAACTGCCTTGTGGCGGACCTCAGCCCAGTCCAGTCTGATTGAACAGTACCAGGCAGAACAAGGTGCCGAGGCCCGGCCTGCTCAGGGCTGGGGAGACGGGGGGGGGGGTGAGGTCAAAGGGCAAGACATGACCCGCCGAGTGCCGATACTCACGATCTCATCCTCCACGTCTCTGTTGAACTGATGGATCTCCTTGGAGGCCATGAGGTTGCTCTTCCTCTTGAGGAGGGGCTCCAGCAGCTCCTGGAACTTCTTCTCCACCACCTGCCGGCGGCCGTCCACCTCGTCCGTGTCCTTCCCTTCCTGGCTCAGGGCCTGGGCCTGGCTGCGCAGCTCCTCCACCTCCTTCTTGCGCACCTCCACCTGGTTCTCCAGCATCTACGGGGGGGAGAGGGGGGGCTGCTCAGGTAACCACATGCACACGGAGAAAGGGGAATCTCTGGCGTCTGCAGCGGAGAGGTGGCAGGCTTGCACAGCTCACACAGCGCCTTCCACCCCAACTTCAAAGGAGAGCGATTACGTAACCAGAGGGGGGAGGGGGGGTTATGTAACTGCCAGTTCATTTGTTCATCTGAGCTTCGTGCCCCTGTGTGCATCCTCACCATACATCAACAACTCTAGGAAAAGAGCAAGCAGCGACACTAGGATCTCTGATCTCGAGTGCACGTCTGCATACGACTTCCAATAACACCACCCTGCATCTACCAGAAAGAAGACATTTCAACACCAGCACTTTCAAAATGTATAATTCTGAAGAGCCGCATATTTAAAACAGCTTCGTTTTACTAAGGATTTGCTCTTCATAATGAGGGAAGATTACTACACAAGGACTGTGAGCAAATCAAGGTAAGATCAGGAAAAGAACTGTTTTGATAAATGTTTAGAGTCAAACAGCCTCTATTAATTTCTCTCTTCTCTCAGGCCTTTAAATCCCAGGCCATATTTGTTCCTAATTTAAAAGACACATTAACAATTGTGACTTTCACGGTCTAGCGGCCAGACCATACATCAACAACTGCCGCAGGGTGACCTACAGTATTTCTCAAGGTGAAAGAACAAAGAGCTTTGGAAACTTGCTCAGGATGACACACCATTAAACAGTGGAAGAGGCTGGATGTGAACTGGTTGCCTCCTGGTTAACAAGGCCTCCGTCTTACCCACTGGACCACCAGGCCCATGACTGAAGCACACAGGTTAACAGGCTGTGCAGAGCGCCACAGCAGAAGGGTTTACAAAGCGCAGCTACCCTCTGAGTAGAAGCCCGTGTTCCCAGTTTCCATCCCAGGGAAAGGAATGTATCCCACCTGCTGTTTCTTCAGCAGGATGCTGACGCTGGTCAGGTCTTTGCCATAGTCATCCGACTGGATCTGCCCCTCCAGGTTCACCAGCCACTTGTCCAGGTCGGCGCAGCTCTGAGTGAACAGCTCTGCCTTGTTGGCGTCAAAGAGACACTGGGCCTTGGTCTGCGTTGTGGACTCGAGCTCCTCCCACATCGTGTGAAGCGCCGACAGCTTCTCCTTCACAACTTCCTCAGTCTCTGGCTTCTCCGCAACCAGCTGCATCCCGTCCTGCCACAAACAAAGAGTGCCAGTCAGACACGCAATGGCCTCCGGCACTGCCTGCACAAGCACGCGTTCTGTGACTGCTGGTGAGCCCTGTTCACAGATCTCTCACCACCCCGTTTGGGCTGCAGCTTGTGTAGTTCCTAAAAAGAAATAAAACTGGGGATTTGAGGCCTCCCAGTAGGGAAATTTTGCCACAGAAGGAAGTTTTTTGCCTTTTTACAGAATGGTGACATTAACTTCACATAGAAGACAACACTTAGCACCTCAGCTACACCATAGCTTGGTTAGCTTCATCTTACTTCCAGCAGTGCTTATATACTCGGTCCTACATAGAATAACACAATTCAAGTTGGGCAGAAAAAGAGGTACCTCAGATCATAACAGCACGCAACTATCTTGAGTCCATTTAATTGTGATCTTATCTTACAAGGGAGATCTTCTGGCATGCTGTCTGACCCCCAGGTGCCCACCCACCCGGAGGTGACTGGTGAAGTAAGGGTCTGACTACAGTCAGCAGCACAACCAGCCTGTGGCTTACAGCGGGGTCCGTGACACCGATCAGCATCTCAGTTCCTTCAGCACAGCCAGCAGGTTCAATTCAACTGTACCATTTATGAGCTTGAAAAAGGCACTGTAAGAAGTGATAGAATGATAGATATGCTGCCAAAATGGAGTCAGACACCGTAATAGACGGATACAGGCGTCAATTGTTTCTGTTTTGGCAACACTGTAATTCATCGGTTCTGCCCTTTGAATTTTACAGGAAGTCAGACAAGTGAACAGAATAACAGTTCAACCAACAGAAAAAAACACTGTCTTTTTAATATGATTTATAGGCACTGAGAATCATATTAAAAAGATGTAGATGAAGATGATGATGAGGATAATGGTCCATCCATTATCAGACACTTATTATATAAAACTATCAATGTCACCAAATAGATGAAGTGCATCAAATATTTCTGAATGATAGTGAAAATATCACTACTATGTAATGGCTAACAGTGCCTTTGACATACACAGCAAACTGCAGGCTAATACAGTTCCTGAGATTCACAATGACACAACATGTATTCTTTCTCCTCTCATTCACTAGTGCTGAAAATGAAGAGTATCGTCTACAGCAACACCTCAGAGCCACGCCCCAGATAAAAACACAAACAAAAAAAAACATCTCTTCAGAACAAAACAAGAGCAACATCTCTTCAGAAACTGACAACAAGAAGGAAGACAGTAAGACCGCATCACAGGAAGGGGGTCTTGCCTCCTCACCTTCTCAATCTTGTCCAGCCACTCCTTGTTGGACTGCAGCTCGGCCATGAAGGCCTGGTGCTTCAGCCATTTGCTGTGCAGGTTCCTGGCTTCGTCGTAAGACATGTCCTGCGCCGTGAGCATCTTCTCGTTGATCCACAGGGACAGCTGCACAGACAAGGGGAACAATTAACACCGCGGAGCACAGCCTCTCTGCCAGGGAGCGGTCCCTGGCCCCTAATTATCCACCCCGCGCAGCTGTCTCCGCAGGGGTTATCCGTGAGATAATCACACATTACTGCCCCCCCCCCGTCTTCTGCTTTATTCCCAACATTGTTCAACTCCTCGCCCCACGCGCAATTCGGAAGAATGGTTTCGAGCTTTACACAAGTGCAGCTACATCAAACAGTCATTCAAATTGAAAACTGGAAATACTGTATCTCATCCTGCCAGTGGAATTTCAAAACCTGACAAAGACTAATTTCTGAAAGTTCACAGAACAGCAAAACACTGCACTGCAGGAATAATATAATGAATAAAAAGATGGAGTAGAGGAGGGCATTTGAGGACAGCAGGGCTCCCGAGGTAAGGCTATGTGCACATACTGTAGTACTCTTTCTGACAGTCTTTAAAAGGAAACTTTAAAGGCTCAAGGCAGAAGGTTTATACTTCTTTTTTTGCAGATATCACTCAGTAAAGAGAATTTACAATAACTCATTTTCCAGAGTGTGCAACATACATCGGAAAATTAACCATGAAGGGATATTTTACACAATAAAAATGAATCATGCTGTTACTGCAGGACAGTACATTTTATGGTGTCTTTATGCTTTGTGTAAAGATGAAATTCAGCAGTTGATTCTTAATTGTGACTTAAAAGGTGATTAGTCAGAACTTCAGAAGGGTCACACGACAGGTTGGAGTCAGTCACAATCGACTGAAATCAATGATATCAATATGACTGTTGCAGCTATACAGGGCTTTAGTACAGCTTCTGCTTCCTCTAACATGCATAAGTAAACCAGTCAGATGTTCCTCCTATACTCTAAGTAGCACCCAAAAGAAGAATGCTATCCTGTTCCACAGTGTGCAGTCAAAAACTCAGCCTCATACGTTAGACAGTGTTGTGCCACTACCTTTTAATGCCAACTGGAGATATCGACTCCTGCAGCCATTTCAAGGCCAATGAGATGAAGTGAGAGCATGACCCCACCTCTCTGCTTGCTTTCGGAGCCCTAGTTAGTTAATGGTACATGACAGCTTACCTCCTGGCAGTCCTGCAAGAATTTCTGCAGGTCTCTATTGTCTTTGAGTCTCATCAGGAGCTCACTGGCTGCCTCCCGGTTCTTCTTGTGCCTACACACACACAGGAAAACACGCAGAAATGACACGCTGTTTCCAATCACTTGTACACTTACACAGTGCAATGGTGTGGACACTGCAAGGCTTTAAACAGGGGTTTGTGCGTTCAGCTTCCGGCTACCGAAGAGGACGAACACTCTCCACTTCAAGCGCTGGTGCACGTTTACTTCAGCGCAAGGTTTGTGGCCCTTGCTCGACTGCGCTGAGTGAGCTCCTCAGCTCAGGCCACGAGGCTCGCTCAACTTCACCACAGCAGCTTCGCAAACAGCTGCAGCCGATCAGATCCATTCACTCCAAGTGCATGATTGACCTGCTGCTAAAGCGCACTCTCCTACACTACAGTGCAGAACGAACACGAACTACAGTGCAGAACGAACACGAACTACAGTGCAGAGCTTCAGCTTGTAAAGGTGGAGGAACTGAAAACATGTGCAAACACAAAAAGAGAAGCAACTGCAACTTGGGAGAACTTGGAATATAGAATGACTAATAAAATTCAGAGTACACAGGAAGCACAGTCAATAACACACTATATAAAAGCAAATACAGTATTACAAGCATGCCAGAACATTTCCTATAAGCTTATATTTGTTATAATAACATATTATATATTATGAAATATTATTTTTGCTACGGGTGTAATAAACTGGTATCCTGCTGAAATCTGATTAACTTTTAAGTCTTCAGGGCTATTTTAATACTGAAAATCACATGCATAAATTATAATTAGCCCAACACAACAGCTATCTGCTTTCAGCTGCAAAGCCCACAGTGAAGCAGCAGACTGAAAGAGTCATTATGATGCACAGTGAGGCTCCTGGGTGAAGACAGGGGTAAGTCCAATCGCTCTCTGGATAAGAAGTTAAATTGAGGTCCCCTGCACACTGTGGGAACGACCAATTCCAGGCACTTATCCCAATAACCCTGAGGTTATGGATATATCTCCCTCCGCCCAAAAAAGAACTGTTGTAAAACGTCCAGAAAACATCCCACTCTCCCCACACACACACCTCGCTGGGCATGCTGGTTGAAGAAGGAATAAACATGCCTTGTATTCACAATGGATGCTGAGGACGTCCAAAGCCCTACCTGTCGTCGATGGAGTCCACCTTCTCCTGGATCTTGTCCGCGTTGATGTTGCCGTCGCTCACCAGCCTCCTGCCGGTCTCCACCACGGCGTTGATCTTCTCCTCGTTGGCGTCCATCGTGGTCATGAAGTCCTCCTGCTTCTTGATGGCGGCCTCTGCGGCCTCCAGGGTGGCGGGCATCTCGGTGTGGGCCAGCACATACTCCTGCGTGGGGCAGAGAGCGGGCACGTCACCCCCGTGCGCCTCTGCAGAGCCCACAGCTCCCAGCGCCTCGCTGCTCGCGTGGCTCGCCATTTCTAGTGGCCTTTACACCAGCGAGCCACGTTCCTTTCCACTTCTCAGCCAGTCAACGGATGAGCGATTTGGAAAGTAATTTAAAAACACGGAAACACAGTTTCCTTCCTCCTGAAGGACACACTTGACTGAGCCAAGGAATGCTATGAATCTTTTCTGAACGGACACTGAAACACAGTGAGTGACTCTAAGCTGTATAGAACATTCATTTTAGGAGACTATATCTTCAATCTTATGTGTTGCACAGATGTTATAATCTAGATATTCATATTTTGATTTTATGGGGTTCTGAACCAAACAATTAACAAGAAGGAGGAAACAACTGACCAACTTTTTTGTAAGTTTGTAATTTTTATGTTTTTCTGAAATTGTGTATTGCTAATATCTCACTGTAGGGCAAAAAAGACGGCTTTGTTAAGACCTAGGTTGTCCCCAAAAATATGCTTCTCCTGCTTACAAAAATAAACACTACAAACCTGCAATGTCCAGGACACCAAATTACTATTTCAGCCTATACTATGTATCCAAGGCCTCAAGAAAATTGAAACTTACAACAGCAGGAAATGTGAAAACAGTCTATGTGATGGAGCAGGTTTAATAATAATAATAATTGCTTACACTTAAATAGCGCTTTTCTGGACACTCCACTCAAAGCGCTTTACAGGTAATGGGGACTCCCCTCCACCACCACCAATGTGCAGCATCCACCTGGATGATGCGACGGCAGCCATAGTGCGCCAGAACGCTCACCACACATCAGCTATTAGAGGAGGGAGGAGAACAGAGTAATGAAGCCAATTCAGAGATGGGGATTATTAGGAGGCCATGATTGGTAAGGACCAATGGGAAATTTGGTTGTGATTGGTGAGGGCCAATGGGAAATTTGGCCAGGACACCGGGGCTGCACCCCTACTGGGATTTTTAATGACCACAGAGAGTTGGGACCTGGGTTTTATGTCTCATCCGAAGGACGGCGCCTTTTATACAATATAGTGTCTCCATCTCTATATTGGGGCATTAGGATCCACACAGACCATGGGGTGAGCGCCCCCTGCTGGCCCCAATAACACCTCTTCCAGCAGCAGCCTTAGTTTAGGCACAAGTGTCAGATCAGGCTTTTACCTGGTTGTTGAGGAAGGCCTCGGCCTGCTTGGTGTCTCTGAGGAAGAGCTGGTAGGCGTGAGACTGGGACAGGAGGCTCTGGCGGTTCTCCCACATCTTGTGCAGCTCATTCCAGCCCGTGTCCAGGGCCTGCAGCCGCTGGCGAAGGAACATGTACTGGGCGTCTGTCTGGCCCTGCGTGACCATCTCGCCCATGTCGCGCATCTTCTGGTAGTCCTCTTCGTAATTGTTGATCTCGTTCTTGATGTTCTCATGCTGGGTGAGCAGCTTCTCAGCCTCGGTCAGCGTGTTGGGCATGTCCTCGGAGGCGATGGCCGTCTGGGTGCGGGAGAGCCAGGACTGGAAGTCGTCCAGGTCGCGCAGGAACTGCTGCAGCTTGCTGGCCTCCCCCAGGGACTCCTCGCGGTTCTTCAGTGTGGTCTTCATCTCCTCCCACACGCCAGTGATCTCTGCCAGCCGGCCCATGATGGCCTGCGCCTGGTCCGGGTGCTCGGCTGCCAGGCGATCCGCCTCTTTCTGCAGGTCGCCCAGCTTGTCCTCGATGGCGGCCAGGTCGCGCTCCATGCCTGTCAGCTTCCTTTGCAGGGCCATCACCCCCGCCAGGTCATTGCCCAGCTCCTGGGTGGACTCGATGACCTTGGTCTTCTCCCGGATCCATGACTTGGTCTCGTTGCACTCCAGGTGGTAGTTCTGCACACCCAGGGCAGAGTTGAGAGAGTCCTTCTTCTGGTCCACCAGGTCACGGAACTGGCTCCACCTGAAGCACAGAAAGAAACCACAATCAGGCTACAGAAAGAGATGTCACTGCGGCCATCTTAAAGCAGTAATAATCCTTGTTCACAAAAACCTACATAGCGCTTACAACAAAAACGTATATATCCTTACAATTATATAGCGCTTTTCTGGACACTCCACTCAAAGAGTTTTACAGGTAATGGGGATCCCCTCCACCACCACCAGTGTGCAGCCCCACCTGGATGATGCTCCAGTACACTCCCCACACACCAGCTCTCAGTGAGGAGGAGAACAGAGTGATGAAGCCAGTTCAGAGATGGGAATTATTAGGAGGCCATGACTGGTAAAGGCCAAGGGGGAAATTTGGCCAGGACGCTGGATGCCTTAACACCCCTACTCTTCTCAAGAAACTCCCTGGGATTTTCAATTACCACAGAAAGATGTTCTTTCATTACAATGCCAAAACTTATTATCAATAACAAACTACAAAACCAGTACACGTGAACAGCCTTCAGTCTGCACTAGGGGCTCTTGCCTGTGACTAGTGGAAACTCCACAGGTGTCCTTGATTTCATCTTGGTTACTAACAGCAGCTACCTATGATCCACTTGAGAAAATGTACTCCTCCATTTTCCTGTCGCCTTATTGTCAGGCTAATCCATTTGTACAATTACGAAAAAAATTACCATCATGAGTAAACCAAGTGTTGCACGTAATCCACAGCATCACAAAACCTGAAGTTACAAGCCTGCAAGAATCTCTTCCTCTTTGACCTCCTTTCCTTCCACATAGCGTCGATGCATCAATTAAAAGCGTTAACGCTGGTCTTCGGTTTTAAGGAAAAATACCCCCAGGCACGATCACTCAACTTTGTCCCAGAAAACACAACAAATAGATTGAATAATCAAGTTGGACAGCTCTGCTCTGGACACAAATTCGGCTGGTCTCAGACGTCTGCGAAGGAAGCAAAACATTCAACAGCGCCACAAATAGACGCCTGTTGTTTTTCGAGGTGCCCACTTCCCTCCAGGGGCAGAGGAAGTGTGGGTCTGAGTCCATGCCAGTCTGTGCAGCGTGGAAAACACCTCACAGCAGGCCTGCGCAAGTCACTCTTAACTCGGGCCTCCCCGCAGCTCTTCTGTGCCAAACAACCAAGCAGTAGGCACAAAGAAAACAAGAACGTTTTAAATGCTTTTTCCCCATCCTGGCAGCGGAACAGTGACCTGAAATGCATTTTTATCAGCCTCAGGCCACCCAGTAAACTGCACTGGGTCTTTGCAGGCTTTGTATTGCCACCTAGGTAGGCAGCAATTGTGACTCACTTCTTGTTGGTAATTTTGTATAATTGCTGCAATAAGATCAAACAACTTAAAAAGAAGAAAACAACAGAACGTTTCGGCTGTGGAGCCTTCTTCGCGTGTTTCTTTACTTGTGCCTGTGCAGCCTACGCATGCTGACGCAGCTACTGTACCTACTTGAACTATCCAAGAACCAAGTCAATGGAAAAATGCCTGTAGGAGCTTATGGAAGTTCAGTGGGTGCACCCGGCGTGGTCAGGCTGACCGGTAACTGACCTGGTGTTGAGCTTGTCTTGCTGGGCTTTGATCTCTTTCTCACTGGGGTGTCCGCTGTGCACCAATTGCCTGGCGATCTGATTCACCACAGCTACACGTGAGGCCTGGTTGTTCATCTCAGGCTCCAGACTCTCGAACCTGGAATTGCAGAGATGTTAAAGATTGGTCTGACATTTTAGAACAAAACGGCTGTATACCGTTTTGCTATAAATATGCACCGATTTATTTCCGTATGTAAATGAATCAATTCTGTGTGCAGGCAGATCTATCATCACACAAACAGCACAGTGGCATTCCTTTGACACTTTTTAAAAACCACTGACCATTAAACATTTGCTGTACTGTTATGTAATCTATTTGCATATATTTGCATAATGGAATATAACCCTGGCCTGAATAAGTAAACAAAGGACTTGACGAGCACAAAATGCATACTAATAAGGGCCCAGCCGAGCTCCATTATCTGCTGGGCTTTGTGCTTTAATTATCCAGTTTTAAAAAGGCTATTAATTGCACGATGGCAAAGATTTGCGTAGGCTAAGCTAAAAACAAATGTCAAAGGTTTACCAGGGACTTGAACAGGAAAAAAAACCCAGCAACGTTCTTTCAGAGCTGAAATTTTAAAAAATGACTTCGAGCCAAGGTAATATTACCCACAATCCATTCTGAGCCCTTCATCGAGCAGACTGGGTAATGAGAGCAATTTAAGAGAGCAAGAAAAGCGGGAGGATGCTGTGGCCTTCCAGTGACAGATCGAGCACTGCCCCTACCTGTGCTGGATGACCTCCAGGTCCTCCAGCTTCTCGGGTATCTCCATACTGATCAGCCACTGCTCCTTCTCATCGATCCACAGCTCGCACGCGTCGGCCTCGCTGAACATCTTGTACAGCGCCAGGGCGTCCTGCAGGGCTTGCTTGCGCAGGCGGGTGAGCTCCGCCACCTCCTTGTATCTCTCCTCGATGCCCACCAGCCGGCCCTGCACCTCGGGGGACTGGGTGTGCTCCGCGGGCAGGGTGCGAGACTGTTCGTGCAGAGAGTCGATGACGGGCCGGTAGCTGGTGATCTCCTCGGCCACGTCCTTGTGTTTCTTCACCAGGGCCTGGGTGGAGTACTCGTCGTGGCCCACGTCGCTGCTGGACACGATGCGCAAGATGTCCAGCATCCAGGTGTCGATGTCGTCGGCGTCGGCCTGGAATTGGTGCAGGTTGGAGGCCTCCTCCAGGCACTTCTTGCGGACGGCGGACAGCCGCTCCAGGTTGGCCCACTGCTCCTGGATGTCCCGGATGCGCTCGCGGATCTTGTCGGAGCCGAAGTGATCGTTGGCCACCATCTCCTCGCCCTCGCGGGTGCTCTGCTGCAGGTGCCCGCTGCGCCCGCTCATCTCGTCCTCGAAGGCCTTGTGCTTGCTGAGGAGCCGCACCACGCTGGTCAGGTCCTTGCCATAGTCCTCCGAGGACAGGATCTGCTCCTTCTCGCGGATCCAGCCCTCCTCCTCCGCCATCTCCCAGAAGAACTTCCAGAGGCGCCTGGACTCCTCCAGCCGGGCCCGGCGCTCCACTGCCAGCTGGCACAGCTCCTGGTAGCAGAACTCCATGTGAGCCACTCGGTCCCGGATCACCTGCGGGTCACAGGGCTTGTACCCTGCACGGCGGGCAGAACAGGAAGAACGAGACAACAAACGTCAGAGCAGATACAATGCTGGTTTTTGATTCATTTCACAGCTTTCTAATTATAACACATGCAGCACCCAGAATGCCACATTAACTACTGCGTTTCTAAAGCTACCTACAAACCAGTTAGTCATGGTTGCACTGTAGTGACAGTCTGATTTGCCATTGAACAGTTCTGTCCCCCCCGCCACCACAGTTAATTATTCTGGGCCTGTCTTGCGCACCTTCTACGTCACTGGCAAACTTCTGAGCAGAGGCATTGACAGCCTTCACTCGGTCAGCCTGGATGCTGATGTCGGCTTCCACGAGGGCGTGTTTCTGCAGGAGGTCCTCAACCCCCAGCAAGTGCTTTCCATAGTCCTGGGACAGCAGCAGCACCTGTGGAAGAGACCAGGAGAGCGCTGAGCTCCCTCATAGAGACCCTTCCAGGCCTCGACTGCGTGATGTTTCAAAAATGATCTGAGAGCCCGTCCTAGCTACAGTTTATCATACATTCACGTAATGAACCATTCTATTGAAAAGTAAGCCCCAACAATTCGGCCCCACTTTGTTAGGTTCTTGACTCACAACACAAGGAATGGTGGTAAGCGGTTTCGTGAGCTTGAGAAGAGATTATTTCAAAACACCAGGGCAAGCCGTCTTTGCAATGACATTGCGGAACAGTCGCTCCTTGGTAGGTCACAACGTTTCAGGACACTGGCCAGAAGGCCAGAGAAGAAGGAAGGAATCAAGGCTTCATTTCTGCCCTGTCCAGCAAATGAGGCGAGTGGCATGTCTGATATCTTTCAGAACCCACCATCAGAAACAGAACCCCATGCATTCTTCAGGGCCAAAAAGGAATACAGAGAGTCTGTCCTTGAGCATCCCCTCCATTGAATAAACCTGAAAGGTTAGCCCCAGCAATGTCATGCACTTTGTTCAATCTCTGTCTTACAAGACGAGGAACGGTCAGATGATGTGCTTTATTAGAAGGGTAGCACAATAACAGGCCTAAGCTTTTTCGAAACGATGAAGTGAAGCCATTAACGGGCCCCCACCTTCATCTCGTCCATCCAGTCCATGATGTACAGCATCTCCTGGAAGACCTTCTGCAGGCCCAGGTTCATCTCCAGCCTCTGGCGCCGGGCCCGCAGCAGCTCCAGCAGGTACTCCCACAGCCGGATCACGTTGTCCTTCCTGGCTGTGATGCGCTTGATGTCGTGGTAGTTCTCGGCCTCCAGCTCGCGGGCGACGGCCACCACCGCCTGGACCCTCTCCTCGTAGGCCGCGATGTCCGTCTCGATGGCCTCGTGCTTCTTGGTAGCGGCCTCCACTGCCTGCAGGTCGTAGCCAAAGTTGTCCTGGGGGCAATAAACAGGGATGGATTCACGAATTAAAAAAAAAAAACCCTAATAACTATCAACTAATTGTTCCAGAAACGTAACTTCTAGAAACTATTCTTCTATTTCCATCCTTACAGTAGGAAAGAACATAGTACTGCTCTCAGTGTCAGAAAACATCTAGAATTCACTTCCTTATGTAGTAAATGCTTTTAAGCACAATATGTTTTATATATTGTATAGGTTACTACTTCAACAAAGGCTACTGCTATCAGTTCCAGAAGGATCCTTTTTGACCACTAGAGGGTGGTAGAAACTTACAGTCCTTGTCTTAATAAGGCACACTTAAATGCACTGTTAATTCTCCAAGTGTGAACGAATACAAAAGAGCTATTTAAATTCAGGCTCCACAATGGCCACTTAATCGCCACAAAATTAATCTTTAATAGTGTTGGAAAGACCTTAAGTATACATAATGCTGCTATATCAGGACTATGCACTCTATCGGATTTGGCTTTTCTCAAAATGTGAGATTCAAATTTTTCACCTGTGCACAGACCTGGTGGATCACAGATGCAGAAACAAGAAGAAGCCAGCTCCCGACAGTGTTTGTAATAAGTAAATATGGTTTTGCACAGAGTAATGCCGTGACAGTAGAGTTCCACAACTTAAGCACATCAAATGATCAAGGGCCTAAAGCCAGTGAACTGGAATCATTCCCACAGAGGCGTCAGCTCAGGTTTGTGATGAGAGGGCCAGAGAAGCTCCTCCAGCTGGGTCACCATCGAAATAAGGGCTCAGGTGGCTCAAGCCAGCAGCCATATGACTCTGCAACTCACAGCTGGCAGCCCACTGGAGCTCAGCAGATGTGAGCCTGGCCAGTACCTGGATGGGAGACCTTCTGGGAAAAACGGGGACACTATACTATAAACAGGTGCCGTCCTTCGGATGAGATGTAAAACCGAGGTCCTGACTCTCGGTGGTCATTAAAAAATACCAGGGTCTTTCTCGAAAAGAGAAGGGGTGTAACCCCTACATCCTGGCCGAATTTCCCCCTGGCCTTTACCCATCATGGCCTCCTAATAATCCCCATCTCTGAACTGGCTTCATTACTCTGCTCTCCTCCCTACTGATAACTGGTGTGTGGTGTAGTGTTCTGGCGCATTATGGCTGCTGTCGCATCATCCAGGTGGGGCTGGAGGGGAGTCCCCATTACCCGTAAAGCACTTTGAGTGGAGTGTCCAGAAAAGCGCTATATAAGTGGAAGCAATTATTATTATCCAGCCATGCTGCCCATCTCCCCCAGTGGTCTGGGGAGGACTCGGCCCCAGTAGGAGACTGGCTCCGAGTGCGCCGCCGTACCTGCGAGACGAGCCGCTGGTTCTCGCTCAGCCAGGTCTCCCTCATGGCCGCCTTGCGGTCGAACCGGCGAGCCAGCTGCTCCAGCTTCTCCTGCCGGATGAGCTCCGTCCTCAGAGCCAGCTCGCGCTCGTGCTCGGCTTTTTCCAGTCTCTCCCAGGCCTGGCAGAGGGCGAATATCACAGTCGTTACTCAGCGTTGCTCACCGAAGCCCGACTAAGTGAAAGCCACTGCTTTGTACTAAGGACAACAGCAAAAACCCAGGAAGAGCACTGCTCACCACCAAGAGCTAGAAGGAAGCTTTTTGATTCTGGAGGTATTTTTTTTGCTCGGCATCAGAACTGGTAGAAACACTGTTTCTTCTCACATCTTTATCTTTGATAAAGATTTCAAACTAGCTTTTGCTGTCATTACGCACTTTCCATCTTAAAAATATTTCAAGTGAGACAGAAACCGTTCCCAACAATTCGATGAAATTTTATGCTTGATTATTTTCATATCAGTCTTGTAGTGCCAAACATTCTCCATTACACACTATGACAGGGTGGCAGACTCTGAATAAAGATGTACAAGGCTTAAAAAATATTACAAAGCTCTGATCAGTTCACCTTGCTTGGAATTAGGTTGCAGAAGTGAACAGGGCCTTACCTTGTTGATATCTGAGATGAGTTTCCCTTCTCTGGGCATGTATACCTTCTGGTTGTTGGCCCTCATTTTGCTCTGAATGGTGAACAGAAGCACTTCCAGGTTACCCTTCTCTGTGAACCTGAAAAGAGATAACAACACAGTCAGAAACTCCTGAATGAAAGAAATATTTTTCTTCTCCTTTTCAACCGCCAGTGTCATTCTCTTCAGAAAAGGGACATTCTTTATTTTTCTGGAAAAGGCTTCACATGTTCTTGTGCACTTGTTCTAATGAGACGTACCAGCTCAAATCACTACAGAAGTGAAAGGATTTGTGTCCCTCATCAGTTTATTATACTCTCATCTTGTTATGCAGGTTGTTCGAGATTCTGTGGCTTGTGGCTTTACATAATGTTTTAGCCAGGTAACTATTCTAGTGAAAGAGCTTTTGAAAGGACTCTCAAAGGTCAGTGAACAGAAATGAACAGTTACCATGACTACCATGATTGCTGGCTACCATTCTGACTGTTCTTGGAAGCGCACTGGTCCCGAGTGAAAACCAGTCCACATGAACACTCACTTGGGGGGTTTCTCCACAGTGCGGTACGTGTTGAAAGCCTGCAGCTGCTGCTGCACCCCCACCAGGGAGTTGGCGAATTTGCGGTTGTTGAGGATGATGATGGTCTGCTCGATCCACTCCAGAAGATCGGAGGCCAGGGACTCGTATTTCTCGATCATCTTCTCCGTCTCAATGGCGTTGTCCAGCACCTGGTCGCCACAAGGAAACGAGAGCAGTGAGAAACACTAATGACTCTGCACAGGTCACCAATCTTGACTATATTCTTTCACTGGAACAGCGGAAAGGTCTACTGGAAAACAACAAAGGCCAGTCTTCAGAGAGCACGAATTCAGGACTGCCGTTTCTGCTCTCGTGCACTTAAAGAGGCAAAATGGAGCTCACACAGCCAGCTCTTGCACCACTGCTGACTCGTGATGTGTTGGGGATGACCAGGAGTCTGGTCAATGCTGTTTGTGATGGGACAGCTTTGGATTCCATTTTTTAAGACTGAATTCAAAAAAGAACAATGAAATTAGACTGAAGTAGTTTAAGCAGGGAGCTGCGTCAGCAGGCGTAGGCTGCAAAGGAACAAGTACAGGTTTATTCCAGGCTTAAAAAGAGAAGAAAAGAAACACAATGTTTCGGCTGTGGAGCCTCCTTTGGGGTTGAAGAAGAGGCATGGAATAAACCTGTACTTGTTCCAATGACATTAGACTGCTGTTTCACGAAGGTTTTGGAGATTTAACTTCTGATTCAACCATCCAGATACTGGAAGTTTTATCCCCCCCTCCCCAAAAAATAGAAGATCATCAAGGAAACGTCAGTGGCAATCCTCCCGATCCCCTTACCTTCCCAATTCGTTTCCCTTCCACGGCCAGGGCCTTCATCTTGGAGAAGTAATGATAGTAGGTCACCACGTAGGTGATGATGGACTTCTCATCTGGGTGGTCCACGCTGATGTCTGCAATGAACAAGGACGCGGCCATCAGCCCAACAGTGAAGAGGCCAAGGTACACAGCAGAGGAGCTCATGTTTTTTTCAAAACACGTGTGCAAGGAGGACATGTTTGCAAACGACTGATTCTTCGGAATCTCCGTGGTGATCTTGTGCTTTGTCAGCCCGTGCGCTTTTGCGATTCTTATTTTGCTTAACATAATTGCACAGGGCTTTTATAATGATATACTGCAATACGTTTAGCTCCTTTAACAGTTCCTCTTTGAGGAAGACTCTTATTTACTGCAAATGATAGGCTTTAATGAGTCGTCACTTATCACACAGACACAACTGAGCTTGCAGATCAAAAGCAGTGAGGCAGGCACCTGGGAGGCAGTAATTATGGCTCTGCAGATTCTGGGTATCTATGTGCCAATGGATAAAAAAAAAACAGAAGCTCTTCAAATTTCCCAAACTCTGATCCTTGATTTAGTTCACACAGAACTTCGACGTGCCCCAGCCAGCCGACAATTTGAGCGAGGTTCCCAGCGCCTGAGAGTAGGCGCTTGATGGGTTAAAAAGTACAGCTTCCACAAATCCTTTTGACACGGATTTTAATGCGAAATAAATGTGAGGTGGAGTTTTGTTAAACAATGTGAACTCTGAATGTGGAGAACATTGTTTAACACCCTAGAAAACAAAGCGAAACCAAACCTTCTGGGTCCAGGAGCTTAGTGAGGCCGAGGTGTTGCTCGGCGAGGTTAAAGGCGTTCTGCAGGTTGTAGTGTGCGTTGGACTTCTTGAGCTTGTCGAAGTCAATCAGGTCAGGTCTGTGAAAGGAAGGCAGGAGACTTACTGTATGATCAGACCTAATTCACATATTCAAAATCCTCAGCTGTACTGACGAAGTCACCCCGATAAGGCCTTTTCAGGGTCAAGCAAAACGTAAACCAAATAAGGCAAGCGTTCAAGATTGAAGACATTTAAGGATAAGAGGTGCTCATTTATACAAAGGCCTGTGGGAAAGGGGAACGAGCTGCCCAGATGTGTTGAAAGATTCTAGGACTCATACTTGCTGGCTTCCCTAAAATTACTCCTTAATTCAACAGGTGCAGCAATTTCTCACCCCTCCCCCTGATCTACTGTGTGGTGGGGCTTAAAGTGGGGGATGAAGTGGAGGTAGAAGTCTTCTATAAAACAGCTCTATAAATACAATTAGTATTTTGGAGCAGCAGCTCCTTCAACTTCTTATTTACCATAGCTGCCAAATTTTGCGTTCAACACAGAAGGGAAGAGAAATGTTAGAAAGAAAACAGTTGCATTTAAAGGGAATGAGATTTAACTCATCCGTCCACATATTTTCAATGAATAACCCAACAGACACTGTGAATTTGACAGGATACACACTGGATGGGACTGCAGTCTATCAGCTATGAAAGAGCAATGTTAACTACCACATCACTGAGCAGCCTAGACTTAACTCAAATCATTGTGCATCTTTCAGATGTGACTTCAATTCCATCTCCAGCATGTGGCCTGTGTGGGAGATGCAGAAGCCCCCAGACATACCTGTGTTTGTGAATGAGTGCGTTGAAGGCCATGCCATCTCTCCAGCTGGTGGTGAAGTTGTGAATGTTGACGTTGGGGTAGCTGCACAGACACAGATGAAATCACAATGAACTTTCACAGTTAATCTTTTCTTTAATACCTAATCATGAGGCAGGCATAAAACCTCAGGCTTAATTCAGGCATAAAACTTTACAGATATTTGAAGCTTTCATTATTTCTATTTTTGGCATCTCACACATAAGTTAACCATAGCATAGCTGCCAGCGGCCGTCTGCATTGAAAGATTCAATACCACATTATCAGTACACAGGATAAAATACTACCCATCATCTGCTCCAGATCTTTGCTGGCTCTAACAGATGGCTCATGGTGCCCGGTATACCACTGTGCAGTGAGGCTTACCCAGCAGTCTTCATCTGGCACCACAAGAGCAAGGCATCCTTGGCAGATTTCTTCTCCTTGTTGTCTTCAGTCTCCACACTGATATCTTGGATCTGCAGCACAACAAAAGGAATAACTGCAGCTCAGACACACCCGAACATTAGTATTATCTAATTCTAATATCTAATAACTAGATCAGTCAAATTCTCATTAATGCAAAGAGATGACAAATATGAAGATATAATGTACTCTGTATTCTGCCTGGCTGAGGAAATGACAGTCCTAGCCTTTAGGTCAAGGCTGACAACCCCCCTCACTTGTGAGGAATGAACCTGGGAGGCAGTTGCAAGGGTGAAGATGGGGTGGAAGGATGAGTATTAGAAAAGATGCGCACAAAGGGGCTCAACAGATAACATTCAGATGTAAAAGAGCAGGAGTATGAGACTACAATTTGATCCCCTCCCAAACCTTACTTTAAAAACTCGGTTGATCCCTGCCACTTTCTTCATAAAAAAACTCCAAAGAATCCTATGCATCAGTATCCACCCCTGTTATTTTGTTTTTGCTGGGGCCCAAGCAGAGCTACACTATTTCGGCACTGCTGTACCTGGAAGCGGAGGATGATGGTCCAGATGAGGCCCAGCGTGAGCCTGTGGTTGCCGTCGACGATGTCATGGGAACCCATGTTCTCCAGGTGGACTCTCTGCTCCTTCAGGAACTGCAGGGCCTTGTCCACGTTCTCCAGGCAGTGGATGCGCATCCTTCCCTTTGTGGGCTTGGGCTGGGAGCAAAGAGCAGACCACGCAGCTGAGAACCACAGACGACCAGCTCTAGAACCTCAGCTTACACCGTGTGCCATTTTACAGTACCACAGCACAACGGCAGGGTTTGGGGGATTAACAAAATAAAATGCAAAAAAATAATCTGAGAATGCTGACTATTTCAGTGGCCTTTAGTGGGTCTCCCTATCGCAATGTTTCTCCTGAAGGTTACATTAAATATCAACTGCAACTTTGAAAACGTTAAATACAGCATACATAATTAGATATATTCAGTATATGATGCCGTGTGTTATCTGGTTGAGAAACTAGTACAGAACACACACACAAACAAAGAAAAGCATTATTACCAAAGGACCTTGAAGGACTGAGTGACTTTGCTAAAGAGCACTCCCACACCAGGGGGAGTTAAGATCTGCTACTTTCTGTTCTCCCCATGATACAGAGTACTGTAACTAAGAGGTCTGTTAACTCTTCCTTCGGTCATGGGCTGCCGTTACTATAGAGGGTTAATGAGTAACTTGGGTAATAAGGAAGCCCAGCCCCAGGCTGTGGAGAGAAGGTACTTTGAACCGAGGGCAATACTGTAGTAACAGCTCACTGATTCTGTGCACAGTTGCTGACTGCAGGATGGGCTGTAACTCACAGGTGTTTTAATCCTTTAATTCCTCCGACACACATTAGCAGGAACACGCTGATACAGACCTATCGAAATGCAGAACACATACTGGGTCGTCAGCACTTTGAACAACACTGATGAAGCACTCCCAGGGAACACAGCCCCAACAGCATCGCTGTGCTTTCAGCCAGCAACAGAACAGTATGCTCCTCACATCTGACAGAAACTCCTGTGTTTTCTGTGAGTGTGATTTTTTTCCCCCTGTTCTGGATCACTTTCTATTACCCTCAGATAAGGAAAATCACATTTCACATCAGAATCGGCTTGCAGATAGGAATGTGCTGATTTTGCTGCAAAATGACCAGCAGATAAGTATTTTATTTAATTACCAGTCTTCAGACACTGGAAAATTGGGGGTGTGAAAGCACTTATTTGCTGAGGGAAAAAGATGGATGTCTTTGATATGACGTAACACCCCAAGGTGACACACAGGGTGAGATCAGATGGCAGGCCTCATGCTGTTGGAGGCCTTTTATGTCTGGGAGCTAATGTCAGGATGGGCCAGGCTGCCTGAGCTTCGGGTCAGGGCACACAAATACACAAAAAAGAGGTGCAGTTTGTTAGGACAGCTGGCCCCTTTTAAACAGGCAAGGAGACGGTGTTCTGTTTTCAGAGCCAGCCAATCCCAATTCCTTTCACTTTCTGAAACAAACCGCCTCAGGCAATGCAATTGTTTCTTCTTCTTCCTTCCAATACTCACTTTATCCAGCACACAAAAATATTTAATGAAAGGTAACGCTCACTGGCGATGGCTCACTTGCTCTGCGCCCTGCTCATGCTTACTGGAAAAGACGGCAGCGGCCTGGATTCATTCAGGAATTTAGAGGTTCTCGGCATTCGGCCCCTTTTTGACTTTTCGCGAACTTGCTCGTCTTTATTTGAGAAAAGAGTGGATCTGCATAACGATCATCTTTTATAGGTCCCACTCAGAATAAAAAAATAGCACAGAAGAGACCACCTTTCCCAAAAAAGTATATTTTTTTTCCCCACAACCACTCGGAGAAACTCATTAGGATAAGACATTAGCGTGCTGTGACAAAGCACAAGCTCACAAGTGATTCTCACCACTCTCGTGAAAAGCTAGGGAACGCGCACAGATTTCATAAGAGGTGCAGTTGTAATAAAATGATACTTTAGTGGTCAGCAAGCTGGTGTAGTGGCTTAGGCTGCTGTCACATGTGAATCCTGGGTTCGATTCCGGACTAGGGCACGTTCTGTGTGGCGTTTGCATGTTCATCCAATCCATGTGGAGTTTCTCTAGGTACTCCGAGTTCTTCCCAAAGGCAATAATTAAGAGATGAATTGCACATTAAGCTTCCTGGATTAGATGTGGGTTTCTGTGACTTTAAGCAGCTTTCTTAAGATGGATGGATACATTTGTGCTTCTAAGATAAATGCCAACATCATTCTGAGTTGTTCCTTTTCTTCCAGAGCTGCTGCTGATGAAATCTGTAAATAAGAAAACCTCCATCTTTTTCCCTATGTTATAATACTCCAAGTTGCTAAGAAAAGCCCAATCTCAGCTGAAAGATGAAGTTGATTTTAAACTGAAGAAAGATTTTGTGATCTTAAATTGACTGGGGTAATGGATAATCCTATCTTCTAAGAAATGTCTCCTGTCATCATAAACTTGTGCATTTTTCTAGTTATATCATGTTGCATACTTAAGACTAAAAAAAATGCTGATTTTATTCAAGTGCCGTTAAAATCTGAAAATCAGCTCAGTCTGGAGCACTGCCCAAAAATGTCTCTTTTGCTTGTTAGCAAATTAAAGAGGACACCTGCAGTGTTTTCTCACTCAACATGCTCACGCTTGGCTTTTAAGTTTCAAATGAGGTTAGCAGCAGCTTCACACAACTTGAGTTGATTTTATGGTCATATCTTTCTCACCACAGAGCCGTGTGTGAGTAAAAAGAAAAGGTCAGGGAGTTAGCAGGTTTCACCAGGAGTCACAAGGCCAAAAGAAAAGGAGAAAAAAATCCACATGGTGAGTAATCTGCCTTAATTGCGGTTTGATTCCGAAGCTGTCTACATTACTCACTCAGAACTGACTTCAAAAGCGAAACTGCAGAGTGGAGATGGGGGAATTCGATGAAAAACACTAGCTTTTTGTGAAAATTCAAATGTGCAAAAAAAAAAGAACAAATGCCAAAGATTGTTTTTCCTATTTTTTTTTTAAATGTCTGACTCCTGGCCACCACATCACAACACCCTCAGGGCAATGAGTTCTTGTACGAGCATCTGAGCTCCTGGAAGCAGAGGTGAGGTCAGCCATCCAAGAGCTTATAAGGGAGACAGCTGATTCCAACAGTCGTGTTGCAACAACACCAGTGCCGCTTGTCCTGATTGTGTGCATTATTACTTATAAAACACAGGACAAGTCTCAACCGATCACCAGATCGACGACTGCAAATCTGTAGGAGTTACTCCATTTATTTGCGGTGTTAAAAAGCATATTTCAGGCTGCCTAAAAACACAGGGAATTTGCATAAAGAAGGCAGATAGGATTAGTAACCCTATGTACATGCCTTCAGTGATTCGGTAATGTTACGAGGATACTTTAACCCATCTTGTTTCAGGGAAAGAGTGACAGCTGCACTGTTTAGTTTAACCTTAGAGTCATGTGCCAGCCTCTAGGCAGAACCACATGCTGACCTTCCTTAAGGTTTCCTTTGTGAGGAACTAAATGATTAATTTGTTTACTGTGCAGGAATGTTGGTTTTTACCACCCGGCTCCTCTTGGCCTCTTATGCAGAGAGAACAGCAGGCCAGCACACACACTGGACGGTCAGCATTTCTGCACCCATTTCTGTGCCTCACCTGCACAGGTGTTCAGCAACTGATATTTACACTAATGGTCATTAATGTTGTCTTTCAATCAATATGTAGCAAATGCATAGGTAGACAAAATAATAGCGATCACAGAAGAAGACCACCTTCCTGCATACTTTCCATGTGCTTGTCAGCGGAAGTTGATTCTGTTTTAGACCTGTAACGTCAGCTCTCCTGAACAAGGCGTGTCACCATATAAAAGCTGAGTGAGATGAAGATGGAGAAATACCTGCTCTTACTGAAAACAGTGCTTCATTTCAAACACCAAGAGCAACGAGGTATCATTGAGCATTCATTTGCATGTGAATTTAATGAGAATTTAATGCATTGCCAAGTGATTTGCTTGTCAAAGGGTTGATTTGATAGTTCTTGCCCGTCCCGCTGTCCCTGAAATTTCCTATAGAGCCTCAGTGTCTTGATCCTTAAGACTAATCTCCAGCATACTGATTTGTATAAAGATCACTAGAGAGGTCATGTTTTGACAATAGGCACTATATAACTCTACACTGAGTCACAGTGAATTGCAAGACATTGAGCTGATCCAGCTACACAAACTAGGGAAAAGGTGGACAGTGACTTTTTAACATTTACTTAATTGCTAATAACAAAGTTGTGTATGCTAAATTTTTAATTATGTACTAATTACTGATATAAGTAAGCAATAGTGTTTTGATACTTGACCACTAAAACAATGTTAATGCTCTGAAATATTGTTATTTTTTAAAAGAAGTCAAAGATCTTAAGCAGGACATCATGGGTGATAACAGTTCTTCTACTAACAAAGTACAGTTTTTCTCTACCTGAGACACCCTTGTCAATCATTGAACAGAAAGCTACTGAGTCACATAAGGACCAGAACAGACTGAATCGCACCACCTTCCTTTCCAAGCAGGCAGAAAACTACTTTAATAAAGTCAAAAAGCAGTTAAAATATTTTCCCATCTCTTGTACCAATCAACATCTTCGCTTTGCAACATACTTTTGCAGTATTCAAACTGAAAAGCCCGTTGTTCACACAAGCAAGAACACTATTCACCTTACTTAAAGCCATGGAGTGACATCTGTGGAGTTTCAACAAGGCGTGCCTTCATATCTTTTCATTTATTTAGCAAAAGATAGACCTTGAGGTACCAATCTAATCTCCTTGTAATAAGGATATGAGGACAAATGAAATCTGTGCTAAATCCACAACAATCACCGTGGCTACGCTGCTAACAAAGAAGAATGCTTGCTAAAAGAAAAGGGGCGGAGCAGTGGCACTGTGGCTGGAAGGTTGCCAGTTCAAATCCTGTGGCCGGCAGAGGAATCCTACTCCGTTGGGCCCCTGAGCAAAGCTCCTTCACCCCAGCTGCTCCAGGGCCGCCGTATAAATGGCTGACCCTGCACTCTGACCCCCAGCTTCTCTCCCTGTCTGTGTGTCTCATGGAGAGCAAGCTGGGGTATGTGAAAAGACGAATTCCTAATGCAAGAAATAGTATAGGGCTAATAAAGTGATCTTTTCACAAGGTCTTGAAGAACGCTCCTGCATACCTACTGTATTCCTGCTACTGCTGAGGGCTTCCTGGGGTTTTACCAAACTACTGTATCATAACAGGTTGATTTCCTGTGCTTTTACACTATGAAAATGCATTCTATTTAAACCACACATTAATCAGTAAACACATTTTATATATGTTTAGTCTTTCATGCTTTTTCTGTTAAACATACAGTAATATTGAAAGTTTTAGCACAACACAATAACCTACAGGACTGAGCAATTTTCTGCTCTCATTACATGCCTTCTACATTGAGAACATGTCTCTAAAAAAAGACATCTAAAGTTTAAAGAGTTGAAATTTGCACCCTGAAAAATGCAGTTGACAAGTTAGGAATAGATTGTGTTTTGTTGTCAGGAGAAAGCAGCTGTAGGTACAGCGTTTTAAACAGCCCTGCACAGGTGTGAGGTTTCTGCACGCGTGATGTTGGGGTGCTTGGCCTCAGGACTTCACTGTGCGACACTCAAGGGGCGTGCGTGCGGTTGTGTTCCAGCGCTCGTGTTGACAGTGGGGCTCCAGTACTCACGAGTCTCTCTCCCGACAGCACCTCCAGCAGCTTGATGAGCATGCGTCCATCACGCAGGTCCATGTACAGGTCTGTGATCCGGCACGACACGCGCGCCAGGTGAGAGTTCACCCATTTCGTGAAGGTCTTCTTCTGCACCGCCTCGCGCTCGTCTGGGGATAAACACAGAGGGCGGAAAAAATCCCGTCACTTTCACTTCTCTTAACAAGTTATGCTCACTCACGCAAGGATGCAAAAGAGCACTCTCTCGTTCCTCTACCCTCCTACACACCACACTCTTTTTCTTTTCCTTTTTCGAATGTCTGTGTACTGTAACGCGCACGGCCACCATTGTGGGTTGTTGGAGCCGGCTTACCAGCGCGGTGACGTCACCGCCCTTCCCTGTGAATAGCAGGGACCGCAGCCACCGGGTTGACGGGAGATTTCCGTTTAGCTCAACTGGCTGGGTCCCTGTTGAGTGACGCCGGAGGCCCGGGTTCGAGTCCCCAGCGGAGGGGGGGGGCGACCTGAGGCGGCAGTGGCCAGGGCGCATGCCCACGTGAACCTGAGAGCGCTACAGTACTTTACATTTTTACATTCTAAAAAATGTTCATTCAGATCGCATTTGATTGAGGCCTCGTCCAGTTTGTGAAGTTTTCAAGATATTGGACAGAGTCTTCTCCTCACTGGTGAAATCGCTTTTTCAGAGTGCTGCATGTTGTCGAATGAAATAAACTGGGGAACGGGGAATTTGAGAAAAAAGCTGAAAAGAAAATCAACAAGACTTAAACATAGATTATAAACAAGTCAAAACTTTAAAATCACCTTCATCTTAAAATAATTCAGTAGAGATCATAGTTGATAGGAATCACCCAATTCCTGTTGGTCTTTATGTCAGTTAACTTTACAACTTCAATTTAATATTAAACACCAGATTCTGTTCTTTAGCTTGTGATTTAAATTACTTGTAATCTATTTTGCAGTCAGAAGCTCACCTGAATCTGAAACTCCAGTCTAATTCCAGGACCAAACCAACAACCACACACTAGCACTAGCCTATGAGTAACAATATAGTCTTTCTAAAGTACACCAATGAATCGCACAGCTCACAGGCTCTACGGCCAGTCCACAGCATTGTTAATGTTATCAACTGTCACATTTGTTTCTGAATGTGTCTTTTTTAAATTTGTGACTTTAATATCTAAACATTCCCTCAAAATCACAAGCATGGAAAAGCCATTTCTTTTCTTGTTTACTTCCAAAATTACATACTCCCAAAGTGCGAAAGGACACATCTGGAATAATCTGCATTTTCCTTTTATTTCTCATCTTCCACATAAGTCTATAAAGATGAAGCATCTACTTTTGGTCTTATTGCTGCCCTGCTGATAACGGCTTCCGGCAATAAAGTAAATCCGATGACAAGACTACACATCTTGGGAGTGTGGCATGTGAGCACCACATTGCTCTGATGCCCATAGGTGATGTCCTGGGTGTTGTGTAATAACGACAAATGTCCCCAACATCTTTCACCAAATTTGTTTTCAGAAGTACTTTGGGCAGCAACAACTGACAAAATGTTCAGTGACAACAAACACAGGGTTCAAACATGCAGAAAAATGACATACTGTACGTGGTACAGAAGGAAAGAGCTGTCCTTTCCTGGTATCCCCTTGCAGCGTTTATTGCAAACACCAGCTAATTAGGCTAGATCAGACCAATCAATTTACAGGTTTTCCATTTGGAGGAAGACTGGATGACTCATGTTGTCTCACATTCCTACACAAATCATAAAGGTAAAACATCCATCTCCTGTCTGTGAGCAGTGCCAGTGTGGAACCTGTCTGCCATTATCACACACACTATCAAATGCTGTTGGCCTAAGTCAATGTCTTCACGCCACGACTCATCATGCTGACTCAGAGACCAGCTCACCACATTCAACTGTCTTTTCAGGGAAGTTTCACAACCACAGTTCACCCAGAGGTGTGTCTGCATATCATCGCAGATTCTGAGGCCTAGATAACTGATATCTACACTGAAGTGTTATTTTTTGCACATTTACAGGTTTCTTCCACATTGGAATATGGATATTTATTAAAACAGGCACTGCTGGCCTAAATTCAATTTAAAGAAGAATTAAATTTAACAGAAACGAAAAACAAAAATATTGTACTTGGCCCTCCACAATATCAAGTAAAATATTCAATTTATTTCTCCGCCTAAATACATACAGCTGAAAAAACACCTAATTTCTTAAGAGACATTACCTTCATATGAATATTTAGAACATTATAGCAATTCGCAACTACAGGGCTCAGCACATATCTGATTCTGGATTCAGTGTTTTTAATTGATGAGTTTGGCATGATTTGTGCTGGGAAGGTTAGGCAGAGCAGATACTGTAAGTGCAATCCTGCAATCCTCAGTGTTGTTCCTGTGCAAGTCTTCTGTTTTTCTTTTTATGAAGAGATTTTCTTTTGATACCTGCTTGTGTGTCGTGTGTGTATCAGCCCTCTACACTCACGCTGTCATCTGACTACACAAAGAGCTCTGAGAAGGTGATCAGCACAGTTCATGAAAGAAATACTGATGGCTCAACAATATTCCCTTTCACACTAAGCTAATAACATTGTGTCTTCTTAAGGCTTTAAGTAAGCTACAAAGATATTGTCTCTACATCATATGCTGTGGGGCAGATGTAGTCACATCAAATTCCAAGCTACACTGACATTACAATGTAAAAATGGCTCTGTTCTTGGCTCGGCCAGAGCTGACTGACAATAGGCCCACTGTTCCTGCTCTTTCACCTCAGCCAGACTTGCCTGAACGCAGAAAGCATCTGGTCTCATCTTTTAACAAACACAGCAATCTACACATAAAACTGTTACATTATGCCTTTTAAAGAAGTACAACAAATACAAAATGTATTTTAAACTGAAGGCAGTTGTTCCTTTTACCCCTGATCTTAACTCACAAGCCAGGGCCACAAAAACAAATAAAGACAAGGCTTATATTAATATACAACACAATTAGAATCTGTATTATAATTGCACTGCTTTAAAATATCACATATGCATTCCGCATATAAATATTCCAAATGCTAATGGGAACATACACAAATCACAAAGGTTCTTAACTAAAATGACAATTTTGTCTTGTGTTATTGAACAATTATTGACTTTTAGGGGAAGCTAGATCACGTCGAGAAAAGGGTGGTTTTATATCCACTGGCATCTTGATAACAGCGGAGTAAAATGGGATGGATATTTACATAAAGTGCAGATTAAAATTGCACTGCTTCTAATACAGTAACTCTATTGCATCCACTCAAAGATCCCAACTGCTACCTAAAAGAGGTATTCGTGCCAAAGCCAGCGTAACAATTCAGCTAGTCCCTGTCGCACCCGAGTTCAACAGGAAAGTTGAAAGTAGGCGTGTGCAAGTATGTGAATTTGGGAAGAAGCCAGAACTGTGGTATTTTAACATATTCTGCTCAAATGCCATTCATATTGCTCAGTTCAATTCGCATACATTTCTGACATGCTGACATCTGCATTACCACACTGAGATGCTAAGAAAAGACTGTGTTTGCATATGGAATATCGCTGAAGATGCACACCCTATAGGTCTGACAAGCACACCAAGTTACATTACCTATTAATCGTGCCACGTGCATTTATCTGAAATTGGAATAGAACACTCATAGTAAAAAAAAAAACAGCACAATGAGTTATTAATAGAACAGAAATTTTAAACACAAGATAAGGGTGGAGTCTGATGTGTGTCCTGTGGTTTTCATAAACACGGTCTCCCCAGGGGCGGCTTAAGAGTTAAGAGTGCATCTTGCACCCGGCGCGCAGCTCAGGAAAAAGGAAGCTGTGTTGTATGTGGTTGTATCGATACAGCGCAACCCAGCTGGTATCTCACACGAACACTCGAAAAGGGCGTTTCCTCACGTGAAAGCGCAAACACAAACAACAAATCAACCACAGATATGGTAAACCTCAGCTGAGGCCAAGTCCCACTGCTGGTCTGATTCGAACTGGCCATGTTACTCTAGGAAATGTGGTGCAAGTGCCCTGATTTTGGTTTCCCTCAGCTTATCCTGTCTCTGCGACAGCTCTGGGACACTACGGACACTGGAGTCTGCAAGGGCGATCGATAACTCAGTTGCCACACTCCTCTATATTGATAAAACATGTGGTAACCTTCCTAATCTTGTACTTTTACATCTAACCTACTGAATAATTCTAAGCCTTGGAGAGCCTAGCTTTGGGATACCTGATTAAGTGGTATGTTTAATGTTGTCTCCACTCAAAATGTATGTCTTTTTTAAACTGTAACAGCTGTAAGAGACTTTCATATTGAAAAGAGTGAACAGTTATAGGGTGAAAGCCTTCTTCACCTACTGCTCTGTAGATCCCCAAAGCAATTCTCACATTAAAATACTGAGACATACTGTACCGTACTGAATGTTTTGGTAAAAATCTAGGTAAAACAGTACTCTTCTGATTCATAGATGATAAGAAACAGTAAAACACCAAAAGGGAAAAAAAACATTTCCCTTTAACTTCTCATTATAGTTATCTTTCACTTTTCCTGCAACTCTGAACCAGTCTGTCTTCAGGGAAGAGAATGCGGCAGTATTTTGCCTATACGACTGTATTACCTATATTTGTGGATTTATTTTTTTTAAAGAATGCTGTTAAATTTGAGAACTGTAGCCACGCCTGCTTCAGGGATAAGGAATAATGCACCAGCCAGTTCTTATTCCAGTCTTGGCATCATCCGCAGACTCCTGGCTGGATTATGGAGGGGCTGGGATTTTGAGCTCGTCACTGCAGGATTGTGGGTTCCAATCCACACCGGGACGGCAGTGTCGCACCTTTGAACACGCTGCTCCACTCATGTTTCTCCAAATTCTTCTGAACAGAAGCGTCAGTCAAATAAACGAAAAACGGTATTAGCAACGTCAAGCTGTCTAATACATTTGGACAAAGGAGCTACTGCTGGCTCAAATGAGGCTTCAAATATCGTCGTCGAAACTGAAAGATCGATGAGCGAGATGGATACGCAAGTCTGCATTAAGCAGGGGGGTGTTGGGGAGTTTCAGAAGGTGTCAGGCAGCTGCAAGCCTGAGAGCTGTGCTGGGTTGTCGTCCCGTTTGAAG